AGTCCCTCTCTCATGGTACCTTTTCCATGCAGCATTTCCATGCGTTGTTAATAGAAGTGTCTGTTGGTTTTAGCCAAGGCCATCTCATGCTGTTGTCCGGTGCACTGTTACTGGAACAGCAGCCTTTGGACAGCTGGTTTCAGCCCTGCTTCTCATAGTTGTCCCTGGGGGAGTCTGTCAACATGAATCTAATCCCTGCTGCCCATCTTGTGGAAATAGTGGCCACCTCCCTTCAGATGCACCACACAGTGTTCTGCTTCTTCTTTCAGTGGCTTCGTCTTCCTTCCTATGAATGCCCCATGCATATTATTTTCTTTTCTACCCTTTCCTATTATTTTGATAAGATGTCCAGAGTTTGAAGAAAGCATCTCCCCATTCTTGACTTGAATTGAGCCCCTAAGTGCTATGGTGTAAGCTTGCTCACCCTGCCTCTTTCCTTACTTCATTATCCTAGGTAGGTCACACCCCTTCCTCACATCAGGCATCTGTTAATTCACTCCACTATACCTAGCAGAGAAAATGCACCATGAGATGAGAGTTCTGCAGGTCCCACCATCCCTCCCTCTTCTTTATGCAAAGTCTCCCTTCCTTCTGCCTGCCATGCCCTCTTCTCCTGTCCCCAGCTGAGCAGGCCCTGCACTGCCTATCCTCTACTGACCCTTTGACCATGTCTTCTAGAGATGACCCTTGTCTCCATGTCCACTCCTCTTTAGACCTTAGCCAACCGCGAATCCCTTATTGTATGCCTTTATCTCTGATCGGCTTCCTTCAGTTTGATGTCTTTATTTATCTCCTTATTTATTTACATAGTCCTGACTGATCTCCCTGGGAGTGGGGGTAGGAAGGAACCGTGTGTGTATGTAGTTTGTGTGTCCACTGCACTGAGAAATGCCATGATCTATGATGCCACCCAGCTTCAAGAGTGGACAGCTGTTTAATTTCCTTGAATATTTTTTTTCTGGGGTCCCCACCTCCCCCTTACTCTGGTCCTTTCTTTTCTGTTACTCCAGTCAACATAAAACAAGCCCCAAACCCTTAAATAAGAACCAGAGTCCACTGCCTTTTCACCCGACACTATGAAGGAGGGATGCAGCCTCCATCTGCAGGCGATTCTCTCTGCAGACACCTCTTCATAGTGGAGTTCCCATCAGGTTTTGCTAGGTTTCTGAGCCCTTGAGAGACCTTACCTTACCACTAACCGAGTTCCAATCTTTAGAGCAGATCAACTTCCCTAAATCTGCATGGGTATTAGCTATGTACTTGAGGATTGAGAAAATAGCCTCTTGGGGTCTGGGGCTGGGCCTGAGGGATCCAGTTCAGAAAGGTTGTCAGGGTGATAAATGATTTTCCTAGATATGCCAGTTTTCCATCAAATACACTTTGATTCTTGGCTGTCCCAATTTAAAAAAAAATGCACCCTGTTATATAGAGAAAAGCTTATTTCCTTTAATAAAAACATTTTAATAGAAAATGGGTTTATCAGATAATTACTAAAAATATAGTGTCTTGAAAAATGATTGATTGATTTTTATTTTAGGTGTATATGTATTTTGCCGGCATGTATATCTGTGTGAGAGTGTCAGATCCACTGGAGGTAGAGTTACCAGCAGTTTAAGCTGCCAAGTGGGTCCTGGGAATTGAACCCAGGTCTCCGGGAAGAGAGCAGCCAGTGTTCTTAATCTCTGAGTCATATCTCCAGCCCCGAAAAAAGTTATTCTTAATATTTCCAGGGTTCCAAAGTTCCAAATCAAGATGTGGGCAGCAGGGCTGTGCCCACTCTACAGATTGGAAAGGAGCTACCTAAGTTGCCTCCTTCAACTCCTGATGCTCAGAGCTCTTGATTAGCAGCCTTCTCTGTGTTTATGTCGCTCCATGTGGCCTTCATGGATCCCATGACTCTGGCTCTGCCTCAGCCCCCTGCCCCCCATTGGTTCTCTTTTAAGATGCAGGTCATTGAGTGGAGCCCACTCTGAGCTAAGTTCAGGTTGATCTCAGGGAGCCATAGTGGCATCCAGTCTCTTCTGAGATAAAGCCACATGCACAGGTATGATGTAGAATTTGGACGTCAGTTTTGTGGGATCCCTGATCCAACGGTTTCCCAAGGGAGGAGTAAATAGGAGATGTCTGATAGCTGGCTACCTCCCTCCTCTTCCCAGTCCTTGCCTAAGCTAACTTGATTTATTGGGTAGCCTTCAGTTCTGGGTATTGGGTCATTTAATTTCACCCCAAATGTGTAAGAGAAGGCCACATATTCCTGCCAACTTCCCTTCTTTCTGTACAGCTGACTAGACTCCTGTCAGCAGGGTTTTCACCTGCTGATGAACACTGCCATTAAGATATACAGCATGGCCCAAAGGAAGGTGTTTGTCATCCTTTAGTTTCCACAGGGCCCCTAGCTTTTAAGATAAGAAGGTAAAGATTTAGAAATTATTTAAAGGCATGAATACATATGGGAAATAACTAGAAGCAATTGTCTGAGAGCAATCTGAAGGGGCGTACGAACCTTTTCTGTTTTTACTTGCAGTGCTACGTAGCTTTTCCACTTTCAACACTCAGTACCTTTGTGATTAGAAAAGCAAAGATTTCTAAAACCCAGGTCATTTTTTATTTGTTTTAACATATTTGCTAGGATTGTTTGTGTTTTTCAAAAGCAAACCATGGTGGCTCATGCGTGAATCCTTGCACTGGAGAAACAGAGGCAGGGCAATTGCTGTAAGATCCAAGGCTGGTTTGGGTGAAAGAATAAGATTCTGACTCAAAAAACTGAACTAAGCAAGCAAGCAAACAAGCCACGATGAGTGGGCTGATTGGTGCTCTAGGAGCAGGCCATTGATGATTTTCTGCTCAGTGTAGATTGGATGTAGGTTTTAGAGTGACTTTTACTCTGTTAATTATTCAGGACCTTACAGACTCCACTAGAGAAGCTGCCTGGGCACGTGGTGTGAGCATGGGTGCTCCTGCTCTGCCGAGTGGCCTGAAGAGCCTCCACACAGACACTGCCTTTGGTTTGTTAGGGACTGTTGTAAAGAATCTCCCGTCAGGAATTGTGTTTGACTCTGGCAGGCATGTGTCTTTCCGGTCTGTACCCTGTTTTGATGTGGCCCAGTCTGCAACATTTTGAGATGGCCCGGTCTGTACCCTGTTTTCGCCCCTCTGTCTGCTGTATTGTGAGGACACTGCACATTTCCAGCAAGTCTGAGCTCCTGGAAGCCACAACAAAGCATTAGGCTCTTTTTGATTGGCTTCACTATTGAATACAATTTGCTCCAAGGGAATTTCCTTATTTTGGCTTATAATATGTTGATGAATTATTGAAATTTCAATTACTTTTGGCTCCCAAGATAGCAGAGTAGATATAGCCCAGACATTCAATATGAAAGCTTTCTCTGAGAAGCTCTTAGAGAAGGGGGGCTGGGTTTCTACTCTCTGTCCTTGCCTGGAAGGGCTGTGGCCGGCAACAAGCACTGGGGTTTGGCTCTGCTCTGTCTGTGAGACTATAATGCTTTGTAGCCTTGGGTCAGCCACTCAAGGTATGCTTCCCTGACATTCAGCATTCACATTTGTGGGGAGCTCATTGGATGTACAGATTCCTGGCTTCATGTAGCACTGATAACTCTGAACCACTGGGATGGGGCTCTGCCACCTAGGTGTCTGACTAGTCCTAAAGGGGGGATTTGGTGTACCACAAAGGTTGGAAAACCCTATTCTAAGTGTCCAAGTGTGTGACTTTTTGGTGACTGAGTTTGATGCTTCATTTGTAAGAACTTTTGGGTGCTGCAGTCAACCCGAAGTGTAATAAACCAGGCTTGGTAGTGCTGTCCTGTAATTCTAGTGCTTGAGGGGAAAAGACAAGCAGATCAGCAGTTCAAGATCCTCTTGATTGCATAAGCAAATTTGATAATAGTCCTTGTACTCTGATGATAAAGGTGTGGCCATAGTTATCAGAAAGGTAGCAATTTTCCCGTTTACTGGGGTATTTCTCACCTTAGTGGTCACAGAGCAGTAACCACAGAGGAGTGAGAGTTAGATATCCATTGTGGTATTAGTGTGCCATATTTTGTGTATATTTTTTATTTTATGTGTATGGCTGCTTTGCATGTGTGGCTGTGTATCACATGTGTGAGTGGTGCCTCTGTAGGCTAGAACAGGGTATCTGGTCCCCAGAGACTGTATAGTTACAAGCCTCCATGTGGGTGCTTCAAATTGACCCCTAGTCTTCTGGAAGAGCAATCAGTGCTCTTCTCCACCGAGATTTTATGCTTCGGCTACTTAGATGTTCCTTCCCACTGTACTAGGGATGCTCCTAGCCTTGGCTATCTGGTGGAAAGCTGCTGGTAGCTTCACTGCCACTCCATCCTGGCCTCATCATTCTCCCCAAGCCCCTGTCTCTAATAACAGTTTGTCCAGTACTGCATATCTTGCAGACACGGTGCATGTAATTCTATTCCCCGACCCCACACTACCCCAGCCATGCCTCTGCTAAGCCCACCCCTGACATGCTCTCCTGTGGGGCCCGGTGGAGCCCAGCTCTCCTATCACAAACACACCCCTCTATACTCTCTGGAGTAACTTCAGGTGGAAGCACAGTCTTTTCACGTTCTGCTGCCTCAGAGCTCGGGAGGGTAATGTTTCCAGCGTTTGTGTGTATGTGTTAAGACTCTTATTCTCTATCGATATGTGAGCTCTGAGTTTCCTAAGACTGGAAATCACGTCCTCATTTGCACCGCCCACCGCAGCATCAGGAACTTCTCTGCTGTCTGAGCAAATGCTCCTTAACGGTGCGCCTCCTCTTGGACTGGAGCATCCTTCGCTTAGTTCGCATATTCTCCTCCCTGCCTGTGAGTAACAGATGATTGGCCAGCTCCACTTAGTGATACAGTGGCTTCAGTGGACTTGACCAGCTGAGCATCACAGTTGGAAACTTTGCCCTTGACTCTCCGGCTCTTTTGCCCTTTAACCTGGGAAACCACCAACTCGGTCTAAAGGGGTTCTGGTTTCAGGTCCGAGAGCTCCAAACTCGACTGCAGAGTGTCCAGGCCACTGGACCTTCTAGCCCTGGTCGCCTCACTTCTGCCAATCGCCCGATCAACCCCAGCACCGGAGAGCTCAGCACCAGCAGTAGCAGCAATGACATCCCCATCGCCAAGGTGAGTTCCTGGGCATGAGTCTGGTGGGTTGGAAGACTTCTCATAGGAAATCCCAGCTGTGGCTGAGCCCACCATTTTGCAGGCAGATCAGTGTACATACCCTAGGGGCTTCCCCTGGGACTGAGTGTCAGGGCAAGATAACCCACTAATGGGTTTAAGTCTCTCTGAGCAGCAACCTGTATAGCAACTCTCATTAATCAGCCTGCTGGAAAATGTCAGAGCTGACACGCCTTTGTGGAGAGTTTTGTCCAGTGTGACCCCGCAGTAAATGGGTACTTGCTTTCAAGGAGCTAAGGTTCAGCCCTTAGGGGACCCTGGGTGATGAAGCAGTAATTTCCCTCCTCAGAAGACTGATAGCCATGCCAGAAAAAGAAATACATTACAGAGCTAAGTGTGAAATTGCATGCCTATAATTCCAGCCAGGAGGCAGAGGCAGGAGGATCACTGAGTTCTAGGCTGTCCAGGGATACATAGTGAGACATTGTCACAAAAGAAAGAAAGAAAGAAAGAAAGAAAGAAAGAAAGAAAGAAAGAAAGGAAATACACTTTTTAAACACTTGTTCTCCGTCAAAGCACACAATGCTTTTGTACAGTCTTCTAAAAAGAACCTGTCACATGGTATAAATGGCAGATGTCTTCCTGCCTGACAGCCATGATAGTCTCCATAGTGAAGTGGTTTCTCATCCTTTGAGTTTAGTAAGTTAGGTGAAGCCAGTGTTTCTCAACCACAAGTGATTTTTGCCCCCTAAGGAACACTTTGAACGGTTACAACTTGAGTGCTCCTGGCATCTTGTGGCTGGAGTCTAGAGATGCTGCACAGTAGCCTACAGTGGGCAGAACGGTCTCCCGTCCCCAGGTTGTCCAGCCCCAAATGTGCTGAGGTTGAGAAGAAACCCCATTTTAAGTTTATGGTTGCAAGGTTGAACCAATGAATTGTTTGGAAGTGTTTTGCTGAATTACTGTAGTTGACATGGTAACAATTGTGTAAGCATAGACCGAACTTATGTGGGGGAGTGATGTGGACTTTCCGATATTTTTTTTTTTTTTTAAGATTGCCGAGAGAGTGAAGCTATCAAAGACAAGATCTGAATCGTCATCATCTGATCGGCCAGTCCTGGGGTCAGAAATCAGTAGCATTGGGGTGAGTGTTGGCAAGGGGTAAGGAAAGAAAGAACCCAATACAGCCATGTAGACCATGGCTCCTAGAGGATAGAAATACTGTTTTTCACTTCCAATTCATCAGTTAATTATATAATAAATCGGGGCACAGTGAAATGTGGTAAGTCTCTAAATGGTGAATTGCTACTTCAGTTTTAAGGGAGATAATCTCTTCCTATTTCCCACCCGCCAACTCCCACACATGTGAAATCTTCCAAAAAAGAGATAACATGCATTTAGTTGCTGATGATGCCAGTGAATGTCTTGAAGTATCTGCTTCTTATCACCTGGCCCCACAGAAACCCCAGGAGTTGTAAGACTCCCAAAGGACTGTGTCTCTGCACATACTTCTGGAAGGGAACACACTGTCCAGGGAGGGCGGAAGCTGTCTTTGAAGTGTGATCCAAAGCTAGCAGAGAACGGACAGGACCTGCCTGCCCAGTATGCGAGTCTTGATGGGTAGAGCCTGTATCCTCCAGGGAGTAAGACGGATGGCTGGGGCGCTGACAAGGGAAGAGTTCCAGCTCTTTTAAGGAGTATGGTTTCTGATATGGTAAAGCTGGGAGGGCTAGCTGTTTGATCCTAGGCCAAGAGGAGATAACAGAAAACAAAACAAAACAAAAAACCCAAACACTGATTTTTATTTCCTAACTTGAAGTTTTACATGGATCAAAAATCACGTGCAATCAGATTCTGTATCAAAACCAAACTGTGAGGATAAACGGGAGAGCCTCTCTTTCGGCCCATAGTCACCAGAGACTGTGGTGTGGGAGGAGTCTAGGGTAAGGAAAGGAAGCCCAGACTGCATCTAACTTCCAGGATTTTCAGGACTCTAAGAGGACTGATCTTCCCTTGCTTGTTGGTTCCCAGCGTCACTTACTGAGGAGGTGCAGCTCTGAGCCCATTGTGTTTCCTATAATCCGTTCACACTAGTTTTTTAATGTTCAAATTATACCAGCCGAGACCCACGAGACTCAGATGAGTAACCGTCTCCTAGTGCCAAATTCTTCAAGACTCTTGCCTTTACGTTGTTGTATGTGTAAGTTGTGCCTGGGGACCAGTGTTTCTGATCTGGTATCTCTGTAGGCAGCTATGTTCATTTGCACAGGTTTCCAGCAGCGTGGCAGAACACCTGGCCCACTCTCTTCAGGACTGCTCCAACATCCAGGAAATTTTCCAAACACTCTACTCACACGGATCTGCCATCTCCGAAAGCAAGATTCGAGAGTTTGAGGTGGAAACAGAACGGCTGAACAGGTGAGAGCAATCTGATGTGTTTCACTGGGGGTGGAGTGGGAGCTGTCGTCATCCCCCCAACCCCACTGCCACTTTGTTTATAAAAGTTCATCCAAATTGTCTTGTGAACTGTGACCTGCAGTGAGATGGCAAGGCTGGTGGGACTGAGATGGAGGAGTGCTCGTGGCAGTCAGGGTCAACTTCACAATTCCGGGGCCTCATGCTTAGGAAGGTTCCACAGATATATTCTGCCTGACTCTGCTGTTACTATTCTTAATCTTTAATAATTTAGGAACAAGAGGCGCCACCTTCTCATTTCACTCTGGACCTTGTGAAGTGCTTAGCGAGTCCTGGGCGCAATCCATAGGGAATGTCCAGTAGGTCATAGATGGCTGCCTAGTGTAGGGGCCGGTGCTGCAGAGAGTCTCAGCGGGAAGTCCTGGAATGTTGAGTCAGGGTCTGGGGCTGCTTGTGTTTGCCAGAAGGAGCAAAGGCAGTGTGCTGGAACCATTTTTGGCATTGGCCCCACATGTTCGTCTAATTCTTTGCTTTCTCTGAGCAATTCTCTGCTGATTTTCTTTATGCTCAAGCATACATAGGATGTCCCTACATCCTATCATAACTGGATTTGGAGTTTACCATATAATAGCTTCATAGATTCTTCCTGATTCTCTTGCTATAGACAGTTGTAGTGTGCATTCCTGCCTCTTGGCAAAGACAAACTTAAGTGTCATCTCAGAAATGAGGCAGCTACTTCAAAGACTAAGAAGTACCATAGCCAAACCCGCGAACCTCCCTGGCTCAGACTCTATGCTATGATAGACGAAAGGCCTGTTGAACAGTCTCCAAGAGTGATGTGGCTGCCTTGACTTAGCAGTCTTTAGTGAGCACAGGAAGAGCTCGGAAGGAGCATGAGCTAATCAAAAGGGAATGTGGACATTAATTCCCATCTACCATTGCTGAATTCCATTCCTCTTGTGTGTGGCAGAATAGAATAACTCAAACTAGCTTGTTATTCCTCCCTGATATGAAGCTGTTTTAGTTTTGGAGAACAAAGGAAATGTGGTGATGTAGGTCATTTTAAAGATTATTTTATTGATTTAACGTACACGTGTTTGTGTCTGTGTGCATATGAGCACGTGAAGACAAGGGACCCGTGGAGGTCAGAGGCATCAGATCTTCCTGTGGAGCAAGTTACAGGTGCTGGGAGTCAGTCAAACTTGGATCCTCTGTTAGATCAGTATGTGCTCTTAACTGCTGAACATCTCTTTAGCCCCATCAATTTTATATCTTGAAATTAAAAGATGTCCATATTAAATCCAAAGTCCTTTACAATGGCAATCCTGATGGTCATCTAGAAACAAGGCAGAAGCACTTTCCTCCACTGGCCTGGAAATGCTTAGACCTGAAGGAGATTTGCCCTTTGTGACTGAACGAAGCCATATGCCTTCGGGGCGATGCCCACAAGCCTTCAGGGGACCCTGTGCCCACAAGCCTTCAGCCTTCACAAGCCTTCAGCCTTGGCTGAAGATCTCTTCTCTGGGATTTCAAAGGTCTGCTTTGTTGCTGAACTTGGGGGAGGCACCTTTCTTCTCAGTGATACACTCCCAGGAGAGAACAAAGAATTGGTACTATTTAGTCCTTGAAGCTCAGGTTAGGTGTTCAGCAGCACAATGGGTGCTCACAGAAAACCTCTTAATGTTCAACTTGTGGGGATAAGGCTAGTCTCTTTCAAATGAAGAAAATGAAGGCTTTGAAGTTGAAAGTGAAGCGATGAAATTCAGAGCAGTTACTTAACAAAGACAGCATTCCAGACCCTGCCCTTTGCCCTCGCCCTGTTGTCCTGGAACCTGGAGCTTCCTAGAAATACTGTCCTAATGACTGTTATTTGATTGTCTCAACATTAAAGGCTTAATACTATTTTTTTAAAAAAAAAATGCTAGCTTTTGATTCAGATTTCCTTGGAGTAGGGGAACATACTTACTCAAACCTGTGCTTACACATGCCACACATCCGTGTTAAGCACCTCCTATGTACTAGAGTATTTGTGACATGAAAAGCAAATCAAAACAGAGAAGGCCCCTAATGTCATGAGGCTTATATTCTGTTAGGAAATATAGATGCAACAGAGCAGAAGAACCCCCCTTCCGAAAAGACATCTCCAGGACCCCGAAAGAATCAAGAGTTATTTCTTTGTTACTCTTGTCACTTTGGGTGCTGGAGTTTAAAGCCAGGATCTTGTACAAGTTTTCCAACCATTTTACCACTGAGCTATGTCCCTTACCTGAGGTTGGTCCTTGACATGTGGTCTGGTAAGGCGTCTTTAAAGGTGTCTTGAGGTTTTAAGGACAAAAGAGCAACGATGCCAGGCTGGAAGAGTCATAACCTCCTGGCTGGACAAAGGGGATGTAAAGGAGGAACCCTACAAAGAGTAGGATTGACATAGACCAGGGGTTTGCAGGAAACAAGGGGGCACCAGACAGCGCCTGGCACATATGCAGATTCAGATTCCATAGCAGATTTTACTCTTTAGCCTAAATACAGTTGGAAAGCATTCTTTTTAACAGGAAGATCACAATGTGTTCTGCCTTCTGGAGCTTAGAGGTAAAGGACGGCAAGAGTAGGAACAGAGAGAGATGGCTAGGATGGGCCAGGAGGCACAGAACACAACGGGTTCAGAATATGAGAAGCCTCAGCCCCACATCAGGTCTGATTGGAAGGAAGAGGCTCAGGGATGCTTTCGTACTAGCTCGTGATAGTAGATGAATAGCTGTGGTGACTTCCAATATGGGGAAGGTGAAGGAGAGAAGGTCGAAGAAAAATAAGCAACCTTTTCAGTGTTAAACCGGAGGCAGTGTGACCCTCCCCCCAAATGAAAATGCCAGGAGGCAACTAATGTGTGGGACTGGCACTCAGGGAGGTGTGTGCTAGAAAAGATGGGACACCATAGAAACAGAAATGCCTCTTGGAGTCACAGATTTGGCTAGAACCACCCCTAAGCGAAGTGCTGGCAGAAGATGGGATCCCCAAGCCTCAGCCCCAAGGAAACACCAACCCTCACAGCCTTACATTCAGATACCAGCAGGGTGTTCTGACCTGAGCAAGGGAGGCATTTCAGGCAGGGATGGTTTCCTCTCAGTCACACAGAGGTCAGCATTGGAGTAAACGGCTTCTAATTAGCAGGGACCACGACACTTTCTAAATTGTAAACAAGAGAGTGGGGACCACTGAAAGAGGCCAAACGAAGAAGAGTGGAAAGGCGTGTGTTTTGTTTTGTGTTAGTTAATACTTGCGAAAATGCCCAGCAATGCCATGTCACCTTTGCGTGTGTGTACTGTGTGTGTTGTGTATATGAGTTCATGAACATGTGTGTCTGTGGAGGAAGAGATAAACACCCAAGCATCTTTCTCAATCACTCTTCCACCTTCTCTTCATGAGGCAGCGTCTCTTACGTGAATCTGGAGCGAGCTTGCCAATTCGGTTAGGCTGTCTGGTGAGCAAACTCCATAGAGCCCCCTGTCTTCACCTCCCCAGGGCTGGGGTTACAGACCACGCCACTTTGCCTGGCTTTTAAGTGGGTGCTGGGGCGTGAACTCAGCTCTTCATGCTTTCACCACAAGCGTTTCACTTGACTGAGCTGTGTCTCCAGCCTCCCACATCACCCGTGTGTTTTATATCCACATATATGCCTCTGTGTGTGTTTGTCTGTGTTATGTGTATGCGTTCATGTGTGTACTCACCTGTGCATGTGTGTAGAAGCCAGAGGATGTTCGGTGTCTTCCTTTATTCTTCACCTGACTTTCTGAGATGGGGGCCTCTCAGCAAACCCCAAGTTCACCAGTTGGCTAGGTTGGCAAACCAGCAGTCTCTGGGAAGCTGCTTGACTCTGCTCCCCTCATCCCGCCATCACTAGACTTCCTGACGCACACTGCCATGCCTGTGCGGGGTCTACACAGGCCCTCATGCTCGCATGGCAAGCACTGTATCTGCTGACCCTCCCCTGCCATGTCTTCTTCACATGACTGTCTGGCCTCCTTGCCAGTGGAACAAGGAACATGTCCCATCACAAGCCTGCTGCGTGAAACCAATGTCTTTTTCATTGTAGCCGCATTGAGCACCTCAAATCCCAAAATGATCTCCTCACCATAACCCTGGAGGAATGCAAAAGCAATGCTGAGAGGATGAGCATGTTGGTGGGAAAATACGAATCCAACGCCACAGCACTGAGGCTGGCCTTGCAGTACAGGTAGGGAAGCCAGAGCGTGGAAGACATCCTGGGTGGTCTTTGGTTTATTCTTTAAACATGTATTTGTTTATTAATTTATTTCTTGATTTACTGTGTGCATGCATGCATGAGTAACATACATGCCCAGTGCATGTATAAAAGCCAGAAGAGAGCATGTGAATCTGTCCTCTCTTTCCACCATGTAGGTTCCAGGTTTTGAACCCGGGACACCAGGCTTGGCCAAAGTGCTTTCATATGCCAAGCCATCTTACTATTCTTGCAGCTACTTGGTCTTATACACATCTGTAGCAAACGTGAGCATAAAAGTACAAGACAACTTTTTAAAGCTATAAGTAGAGGCTTGGACCCGCAAATAGTAACAAATTAAACAGATGGTGCCCCAGCTGAATGGAGATAAAGCAATATTTCCCTTGTTCAGCTTGGAGAAACTCATCAAGAAGCCTTGTTATGACCAGACTCTTGTCTTGACCACATGAATGTCAGGTCTGTCTGCCTCCTGTCTAGACATAGGTCTGTGTGTATTGCAGCACAGTGGAAAGGGACCACTGTGTGTGTGTGTGTTTGTGTGTGTGTGTGACAATATCTCTGCCTCAGACTAATGATTGTGCCCTGTCATGCCTAGCAAAGAGGCTGTTCACGTATACACAGTGGATGATGGGCATGGAGCAGGATGACTTTTCCTTCTCTTGAACATCTAAGCTCAGACTCTATATGCAACCTAACAGCATTTCATGACGCTTTTGTAGAAGTCTGTATCTGTACTTTTTGGGTTGATAGCCATTTTCTGTTTGTGCTCAGTACCGTGGTAACTGGCAACCACATGATGACCGCACATGTAAAATATAGCCACTGAAAGGTTGTTGGGATCTTTCCCTTTGATTTAACTTAAAATAGCTACATATAATTGTTGTCTGAGGCTGCTCATTTATTTCCCAGCCACCTAGACCTGAAATAACCACACATAAACTGTATTAATTAAAACACAGCTTGGCCAATCACTTAAGCATATTTCTAGCTAGCACTCACAACTTAAATTAACCCATTTCTATTGTTTTATATTTTACCATTAGGCTCGTGGCATGCTGGCAAGGTTCCGGCTACCAGCTAGCATCTTTCTCCTCTGGCAACTACGTGGTGTCTCCCTGACACTGCCGACTCTCTCCATCTCTGTTGGATTTTCTGCCTGGCTTTACTCTGTTAAGCTATTGGCTGAAAGCAGCTTCTTTATTAACCAATGGCAGTAAAACATATTCATAGCATACAAAGGGGAATCCCACATCATATAGCCATTGTCTACTGTTCAGTACACATCTAGGTAAAAATGATCATCTCTGTAAGGGGAGTTTCAATAACTACTGAGGGTGGCTTGACAGTTATTAGGGTCAGGCATCTGTGAGTGACGTGGCGAGCTGTGCCAAGCCTTTGGCCTCCTGGCCAGTGCTGAAGGTCACGTGACCACGAGGGCTACGATTTCTGAAAGTTTGGCTGGGGTGCTAGGACCTCCTTTCGAGCCTACTCGGTCTGTTCACAAGCCTCAGTTACCCGCTGGCTGCAGGCTACAAGTCTTAGTTCCACTCCGGCTGACGCCCTCCATTGGGAGACCCAATATAGGGCCCCCACTGTCCGTCAGAGAAAAATACCCGAGGGAGAAAGGGAAGTGGGACAATTTGATCAAGATGGAAGTCATAGTGTTTTGAGAGTCTAGGGCTGGGTACAGCATACCATCATTTCCATAAGTTACAGAGACCAACCCTGCTAGAGTCCAGGGGCCAGAAGGAGAATATGCATTTTGGGATGCAGGCTCAAGAGAGGCTACTGTGGAGACCAAGTACCATAGGTGTGTCATGTGTTTCTTTCGAGTGGTCATCTAAAGGACAACCGGTTTGACCCTGCCTTTTATTGCTTTTTATAATTTTTCTAAAACATAGGGTTTTTTTTCTGTTTTTATTTTTATTTTTTCTTAAAGGGATTGACATAACAGCAAGCGACTAGTATATCCAGGGAGCACTTCTATGTGGAATAGTCCTCACTTTGTGGGTGGGGAGGCTGAGGCAGGCACCCGGCTGCAATGGCGCAGTGATGGAGATGGTCACCATTCCTTGCCAGGGCTGATGCCATGCTGTGCTTCTATTGCAGTGAACAGTGCATAGAAGCCTATGAACTCCTACTGGCACTGGCTGAGAGCGAGCAGAGCCTCATCCTGGGGCAATTCCGGGCAGCTGGCGTGGGCTCCTCCCCCGGTAAGTGTCCTCCGAGTTCCCTCTATGCTACTTCCCATCTTGTCAGCATGGCTGCTGGCATTGTCTCCCAGGAACACGAAATCTGCTTGTCAAGTGTGTTTTCCATTTTCCCTCATGACTGAGTGGGTAAACTGTTTACGTTGAATGAAGCAAGAACTGGAGTGGAAACAGGATCACAGACAAGTTAAAACAAACAAGCTCTCTTAGGAAATGGATTCTCCTGGGCTGACGGTAGGAGCGGAGGGAGTGGGGATCACAGTGCTGTTAAAAGGACCCGCACATGCTGTAAGGAGAATGGGCATGTAGGCTTCTTCACGATGTCACTAAAGCTCAGCCAGTGACAGCGCAGGGCCTGCCCTGGTGTGAGGGGAGCATACAGTACAATGCTGGAGAGGAAGGAAGCTTGCCGTACCCTTAGTGTGCCCTGGGCACAAGCTCACCTATGCTTTGTAGGAGTGGTCTTCTGGGAGACCTAATGATAAGACAATAAACTCAAATGAGCCAGTGTTCCCCAAATCTTCCAAGGCAGGCTATAAGGGCAGGCCAGGTGTCTCCATGTATGGCCCCCAAGCTGTCAGGAAGTTGCTCTGAGCTGTAAATCTAGAAGAGGGGGGAGGGAAATAGATGAATAGCTGTTAATGGCCGTGCGCTTCCTGTTGGCCTTCTCTCTCCAGGACACACTACCACAGAGGCTACTCCCCAGACTCCTTCTGAGTGAACCCCCTCTCTATTGCCACATTTATAAGGACAGTTGGGATTTTCCTCCCTTGGTTTTGATGCCTGCGGGAATCAGCATCAAACCTGAAGATGAGAAGAAGCTGAGCAGTACTGTCCTTTCTTATACCCAGGCTTTCTAACAAGAAAGCATTCATCCTTGGGATTGGTGGCCACCCTTCATTCCTCCGCTCCACCCTCTGGTCCCATCCCCACTGCCTGGCCCAGCCCAGAAGCAGAAACTCTGCCAACATTTCCATTAGAAACCTCATTTTTTTTCAGGGTCTTTTAACTGAACCATAAAATTTTACTCCTCATATGAAACAGATCCTAAAATGATCTTGGCTTGCTGTCAAGTTTTTTTTTTTAATATGTATTAAGAAAACCATCAATTAAGGTAGAGAAAAAAATCAACCATGTTCTAGTTTGTATCACAAGATGTCTTAACCTATTCCATGAGCAAAAAGCATCTTTATTAGGCCTACACAGTTTGGTTACTTGGTAGGAGTTGAAAGGGCTTAAACAAATCAACATTTAAGCCATTTGCAATGATAATGAAGTGTTCATGCCTCCCTTATCCCAGGTAACTCCTGTATGCATTTAGACGATGACACCATGTCTACTTTAGAACAGAGTACAGAGAACAGTTCAGCTGGTGAGGTGTATGTAAAATTCCGAGTGGAAAAAAGAAACGTGGCGAAAACGGCTGAAAATCAGCGTGTGGGATCTATTCTCAGTACAGGAACCACACCATACTGAAGTGTGTTCTCCCTATTATCCGCATCATTCTCCATCGTGCTAAGCAGTGCCTAATTTTCATAGTTGCTGACAGTGGCAGTTGGGCCGTCCCTCTGCCCATCGTGCTGCATAAGCAAGAGCTAGCTGGTGACATTTTACTCACAGTGTCAATTACTGTGGTTGTCTTTGTTTGTTATTGATCGCACAGGCACTCATTATGTTCACTCCAGAAGCTTTAGCTCCGTGGTTCTCAAACTGAGCCTCGGGAAAGCGAAGGGGTGTCTCTGGGGCTCAGCAGTGGGCACGAAGGGTGAAGGAGCCAAATGGAGTCCAGCCTCCTCCACTTCACCCAACCACATTTATGTTTCTGATGTTCACCATCCAGATCTGTGTTGGATGGATAGCAAGCCAGCGGTTTGTCTGGCAGCCACAGTTTTTGTATTGTTTTGAAGCCTTTATTCTTTAGAGTAATGTCTCAGTCACTGTTCTGTTGCTGTGAAGAGATCCCATAACCAAGGCAACTCTGAGGAAAGATAGCATTTGATTTGGGGCTGTCTTTACAGTTTCAGAGCTTTAGTCATTGTCATCATGGTGGGGAGCGTGGTGGCACTGGAGCAGTGGCTGAGAGATACATCCTGATCCAACAGAGACAGGGGTGTAGGGGGAGGGAAGGAAGGAGAGAAGGAGAGAGAGACTGGGGACACTGGGCCTGGCTTGGATCTTTGAAGCCTCAAAGCCCGCCCCCCCAACACACACACACAGTAGCAACAAGGTCAAGCTTTTTAATCTTTTTAATGCTTTCAAGTAATGCCACTCCCATTTAAATGCATGCACCTATGGGTGCCATTCTTATTCAGACGACCGGCAAGTAAATTTCAGTTCCCAGGAAAGTTGAGAGGAAGTGCATAGATGTCCCATGCATGCATATGCTTAGCCTTCTCCATTATAAATGACATGCACCAGACATCATTGTTGTTGAAGTCAAAGTTCCTGGTCTCTATTAGAATTTACTCCCTGTTGGAAACTCCTTGGGTGTGGCAAGTGGACAATGACGAGGACCCACCACCATAGCATCATACCTAGTAGTCTGTGCTTGAAGTTGCCATCTTGTGAAGACTCTTAGCTGTGCCTTCTCATTCCTTTCTTACTCTTCTCTCCCAATCCTTAAGAGCCACTGTTTTTGTTTCTTTTTCATTTCCATTCATCCACCTCTCCCTCCCTCCCTCCCTCCCTCCCTCCCTCCCTCCCTCCCTCCCTTCCAAGTTCTAAGAGTCAAACCACAGTATCTTTTACCAAACAGGCAAGTGATCTGCCTTTGAACTTTTTTGTGTGTGTTTGTGGAAAGTATATGTACATGTTCCTATGAGTGGGTACATGCACTTGCATGGATGGGCATGCATGCATTTGTGTGTGTGTATGTGTGCATGTGGAAACCAGAATGTCGAGGTCAGAGTTGAGTGTCACCACCTAACATGTTCTCCCGATTAATTAATTTTTCAGACAGGATCTCACTATATAGCCCTTGGATGGCATGGAACTTGCTATGTAGACCAGGCTAGCCTTGAACTCACAAAGAGATTGGCTTTTCTCTGCTTCTGCCTCCCTAGTTTTAGACTTAAAGGCACATATCACCACCTCATATTTGGGGGGGGGGGCATAGTCTGACTGTCCATCAACCACCAGGAATCTGCCTCTTTCCTCCCCAGCTCCCCTCTGGTGCTGGAATTACAGATGTGCGCCACTACACCCAGCTTTTACAAGGTCACTGATTATTTAAAGTCATGTCCTCATGCTTGCGTGGCAGGTACTTGACTGATAAGATCATCTTCGAAACCCCACTGAGCTTTTTTAATATCCCCATAGTTCTATCTTTTCCATCCCAGTTTTATAAGCCACATCGAGAACGTGACTATCTTGAGCAGGAACCAACTTCATTATCTTGGCTTTATGCTTCCTGTACTCCTGTGTCCTGACCTAACCCTGTCACTCAGCTCCTGGAGTCAGCCCCCTTGACCAGGCCAAGAGGAATAGTACTGATACAGAAAATGCTCTAATTTCAGCTCTAACTACTTGTGTGTCCCTGTTGCCCTGCATGTGAGTCTGACAGTGTTGTTGGTAGGTGACAATGTGGCATTGTGTCCCAGTTCCCCCTGCCCTCACTCCTAAAGCCCCCCTGCACAGGAGACATGTGCCTGAGCAGGAAGAGATGCAGCAGCCTAGAAATGTGGGAAGTTAACTCGATACTGATGATGAAGATCATACTGTGTAGCATAATTAAGGAGGTCCACAAGGGCCCAGAATAAAAGAAAGCAAGTATATATTTATTTAGGGAAAAAACTCACAATAAGGGTAGAGAGCTGTGGGCCTCTGTGGGCAATGGTAGCTGTGAACTGAATTCCGACCACCAGCCAAGAAGGAGCAAGGTGCCAGCAGGCTTCCTGTCTGTGCTTATAGTACCTCAGACCACGCCCTTGAGGACAGGTATCCAAGAGGCTATTGGCTGAATGAATTCCCACAATACCACTGTCCATGAGGACTATGGCACCCACTCAGAAAAACACCTTCCCACCCCTCTCAGTTCCCACACTAGCCCAGCCTGCAGGCCCCCTCAGCCTTCTCTCCACATCCCATCCTCAGTAACTGAGAGCCAATTACAGGAGCATAACCTGGGCCTTCCTGACTCCTTCCTGCATCCATTAACCCATTGGCTTCTCTGTGCTGTAGGAGATCAGTCAGGGGATGAGAATATCACACAGATGCTCAAGCGGGCTCACGACTGCCGGAAGACCGCGGAGAATGCCGCCAAAGCCCTGCTGATGAAACTGGATGGCAGCTGCGGGGGAGCCTTCGCTGTGGCCGGCTGCAGCGTCCAGCCCTGGGAGAGCCTGTCCTCCAACAGCCATACCAGGTACTACTAGGTGCTCTTCCCTGGGACTCCTCTGCCTGGGATAGGCTTCTCATGGGTCCACACTAGGGGAACTGTGCGGCTTGGATAAGGCAGGGTTGCTTCATGCTCACAGTCTGTTCTATCCTAGGAGGCAGAGCTGTGAGGAGGGCTGGAAGGTTATTATGCCCATGTGGAAAGAACGGTCCAGGGAGACAGGGCTGTAGAATGTCGAATGTGCATGGGCATGTTGTGAATGATAGAGAGGGCAAATGAGCCTACTCTCGCCTGGTGCTCGTCTCTCTGTCCTGTTCTATCCTATTTCTTTAGTATTCTCTGTTTCCAGGAATTACCTGGAGGGGCCACGGCCCACTGCTCAGACCCAGTCAACCTGGGTCTCGTTTCAGATCCCACTCTCTTTCCTTGCAGCCCTGTCCTTGAAAAGCTCTTCCATGGCAAGAGACTGGCCTCGCATCTCATTCCTCAAGCGCAGATGTATTTACCGCACCTCCTAGGCAGGCACTTGATCGTGAACCTGAGGTCAGATCTACCGTCTCCGAATAAGTAGGCTCTTAGCAGCGATGAAGAAGGCAGCAAAGAGAGCAGTAGGGGCTCTAAGCAATGTCACTGGTGCAGCTGATCTTCCTGGGTGGGGCAGGACACCAGAATGAAGCCCCTGGTAGCTTGTTTATCATTTCTTGTCACCAAACTCTAGCGGCTGTAATGTACTCCTTCCCCTTACGTGCCAGTTCTCAGACTGGAATGCGGTTGTTAGATTCTTATTGGACTTTCAGATCTGGAAAGCCAAGGGTGATTTACCCCATTTTCACAGGTGAGAACACTTTGACTTAGAGATGTATAAGTGACTTGCCTGCTAAGAGGGAAATCTAGAACTTCAGCAGCAAACACGGTATTCCTCCTACTCCGCAACATTAGATCTCATTCATTATAAGACAGTCTGCTTACATGCAAGTGGCAAGCGCTTCATACAGATCAGTGGGATGTCCAATGCCAAAGCAAAAGGACCGATGTTCTCTTGATGTCCAAAAGCAACTTGATATATCTCTCTCCCCCTGTAGGGAACCAGACATTTGCTTCAATTTATCTATATCCATAGACTGAACCCCATGTCCCCGGAGAAAATACAGTCTCAATCCCACACTTGGTCAGCTGCCTACAAACACAAGGGGCTTATTTCTTCTGCACTGAAGCAGCAATTGTCTTATTTGGCAGCACATAGATTATAATTTTTTCCTTTCAAACCATATTCTTCTGTTTAAAGAAGAAGTCTTTGCCCCTTTCCATGATATTCACAGGTACTTATAATCTATAAGTTCCATGTTTGAGTAGATATCCAGTGTTCAGCTTGTCAGTGAGAGTCTTCTGTTGAATTAATGAATGTTAAGAGTTGGGTTAACAGGAAATGTCTTGTTTAATTGTCTGCATACATCTGTCCTGCATATAGCTCTGGAGTAGGTTGAAAGTGAGGACAATTCTCTAGCCTTCTACTGGGGGAGAACTGATCTTGAATACTTGTTACAGGAGATGTTTAAAGTATAGGTAAGCTTGATTGTTAGACCATTTTCTTGAGAAATTGAATTGTTGGTCCTGTAATTCTATAGGTTCAGAGAAATTCAGACACAGACTCAGCTTTCAAGAATGAGCTCACTAAAGACTGGCCATGTAGGGCCATGAACAGGCTCAGTAGCTAAAACCCTACATAAGCATGAGGACCCAGGTTCACGTCAGAGTTCATGTCCCATCAGCCATACAGATGCTGAGCAAGTGTGATGCCTGCCTAGGATCCTAGTGCTCAGGAGATAGGGACAGGTCAAGGAAGATGCCCACACATGTGCAGACATGCTCATCCCCACAGGTGCATGTGAGGAGGACAGAGGGGTTCTTTAACAAACTTTAGTTTCAAATGAATCTTCCATCGAACACAGGTTTTTAACTCTGATTCCGCTAAAATGTCACTTCCCCTCCTGCCCTTGCGACAGCAGTTCAGAACCTGTACAGAAGAACACACAGGGCATTCGTGTGGCTCTCCGTAACCATAAAACAGAAACAGTTGGATTATCTTATGATAAATGTAGGTTTGGAACAAAGCTCCTAGCCATCAGCTTACAATAGTCTCAGTAGTTTTATTTATAGGTGTTGGAATTCTGCCTCAAGCACTGTCCTAGGAAAATGGAGCTTTCTGAGCCAGGGTTTTGTGTGGCCCAGGACACCCCCTTCTCTCTCACTGTGACCACCTGGCAAGATGAGCAGTCAGTGTGTCCATCAGTGCTACCCAAGGGCTCAGGAAAGGAATGCTCAGGTCAGGTCCCCCGAGGTGTCTGACAGCTCCCGAGGACAAGAGGGTTAATGGCTTTAGGAGGGAGCAGCAGAGGGCTAGTTACCCAGCAAAAAGGATCTGTATGATATCACCTCTCAGCTGATGCCCTTGGTGGGACCCCAGCATGAAAGAAAAAAAAAATCTCACGTTTGAAAATTACAGCTACAGATCCATTGGAAAGCCCGGTTGTCTTGATTGAAAGCCGGGCAATGCTGATTGCATCTATAGCAACGCATATCACATAGAGAGGCAAACAGACTCGATTGCCAGTGAGTAGAGCTAGGCATTAGCAAGCAGCCTAGCTTTTGTGCCAAGCACTGTGTTTTCTGCTCATTCTGTGGATGTATACTCATGGGCACAAATCCACGAAAGCACAGAAAAGCCATAGCAAGTGCGCCCTCCTAGAAATTGGAATGGAGGCTCTTTCGTTTCTGTGTAAAATGCGCACAGTCATGTGCAATCAGTGAAGGGTGATTCAGCCTTGCTGTAAAGCTGCTTCCTGCTTTGGGTACCTAGGATGCTGGCTGGCCAGCATGCTATCTGGGGCATGATGCCCAAATTGCAGTGGAAGGCAGTAGAGGACCAGAAGGGTCCCAGTTAAGATAAAGTTTCATGGGGAAGAATGGATTAGACCAGTGGCACACTGTCTGATGTAAAGGTAATGGCCTGGAATCCAGTTAGGACAGGTCTCTGCGACCCTCAGCAGCATGTTTCAAGGAACACAGGACTGGTTGTTATAGTGCCATCTTTCAGAAAAAGAGAGGCTCTTCTGCCCAGGAATAGGGAGAGTGTTCTAAGTGTGGGAGATTGATGCTTGCTAGTGTTAGTGAGCACCAGCACCCAGCTGAGACACACTGATCCAGTCCTAGTCTCTTTCCTTCACCAGTCATGTGACTAGAGTAGCAACAGGAAGTGCTTCCTGTACTTTTCTCCTTCTTCTTAAGCCCTAACTTTAGGAACCAGTTGGAGCCATTCACCCATTTTAAAAGACAACAGTTGACATCCTAACATTACAAAATGCACAGTACACAATCTCGTAGTTTCCCATGCTAGAATCCCCACCGGGACACCGGGTAATACTTTGGAATAGAATTCCATAATATCACTGGTGCTTGATAAATTATGATTTAGGGCTGCAAAGGATAGAAATATGTAAAACAGCTTAAGTGGGGTTCTGATTGAAAGGCTAGCATAAGATAAATGCCAGCTGAAGGCACAGGGCTGCCATACTTCCTGGTGACAAGTCCTGCAGGTGAGGAGCCACACCCGAGGCTCTGCGTCCCACCTTTGTGGCTCTGTGATGGCTGACATTTTCCTCTTGTTGCAGCAGCCTTTTCTAGATGGCAGAAAATCGGCAGACAGCCTGCATTTATATCCGTGGCTAACTGGTTCATTAGTGCCATAAGAAAAGCCCATCTGGGGGCGGGGCCATCTGGTTCTTTTGGTGACCAGGATGGGTCATTTCGGAGTCAGAGATGGCACCTGGTGCAGAGGAACAGAAAAAATGGCATTTGGTGTCTAGAGCTAATTTGAATGGTGGTGATGGACAGCGGACCAGGTAGAGGCAAGGGTTTATGGGTAGGCAGATCAAATATGTTTGATTGTGTGTGTGTGTGTGTGTGTGTGTGTGTGTGTGTGTGTGTGTTTTGAGACAGGGTTTCCCTGTAGCTTTGGAGCCTGTCCCGGAACTAGCTCCTATAGACCAGTCTGGCCCCGAACTCAGAGATCCCCCTGCCTCTGCCTCCCAAGTGCTGGGATTAAAGGCGTGTGCCACGACCACCCAGCTTTGTTTTTGTTTTTGAGCCTGGCAGTCATGCACCCCTCCAGCCAGCAGCTTGAACAGTGAATTTGTGGTAGAATGTTCTGGCAATTAGCTGCTGCAGACTAAGGTATCTTGATTGGTGCTGTATCAGAGCAGAGGATCACCGAAAGAAGCCCGTGGCTCTTGTCTGGCTCCTCAGAAAACTAGAGCTAAACACAGGCAAGTGTGCTGAGCATGCCCAGGCTCTTCATCTGCAGATTTGCCTTCCATCCTGCTCTCAGAGCACCTCCAGCCTCTAGAAAGTGATTTATTCCCCTTGACAGCTGAGCTCATCCTGCATTCCAGGCGGGGAGAGGTAATGGATGACTTAGCCCTCGCCCAGCGGCCCACAGCAGCCCCCGGGAGGCCAGAGGAAGGGCCAGTGGCTTCTCCTTCTTTACCATTATCATAATCAAATTGGGCTGTGGAACATTAAGGGCATGAAGCAGAGTTGTAATTACCTTCGCCTGATCTGCTCCCTGCTGGTGTCCTAGAAGGGAGGAAAGAGAGCTGGGCTATCCTGGCGTGGGCTGTGGTGCTTGCCTTGAAATTCAGCTTTCTTTGAGGAAGAGCAGGTCAAGCTCCTAGCTTCCAATAGGGTAGGATGTGTGGACTGGGATATTCTGTACTTGTTTATTCTTCATGTATAGCAAAGACAGTAGAAACCAAAACTGTCCTTTTTGGCCAGTGACCAACCGTAAGCCTCAGGTGACAATGAAACCGGATACTCTCTGCCCACTAATGTTCTTCCAGATCTCTGAGGCCATGGAGAACCAACTTCTTGTCGTTTCCTCCTCCACTGCAGCTTTTCTGCATGGTGGCAGGTGTCTGACCTCTAGGGGACACTGAGGCTAGTGGTGGGTATCTTCACGCAGCTGCCAGCAGAGTGTCTCTTGTCCTTGTTCCTCACCCAGAATGCGCACTGGGTAGGTACCACCAGCTGGTCCTTCCCGCACTCTGGGAGGTAGGAGCCACCAGTGTTCCTGTCGAGTGCAGCCAGATAAGTTAGGCGATTCCCTCTGGGCCGTGAGGCTGGGGTGTGCCAAAAGAAGGCTGTGCAGGTGTGACTGGCTCCAGAGACCTGCCAGCAATCGTGAACATCCACCTGAGCAGCTCAGTACACAGCAGCCCCACCCCTAGGAAAATGTGAGGCCAGCCAGTTAGTTGTCTGCTGATTTTCCATTTGTTGCCGTTCTGGTGGCAGAACAGCATGGAGTCTGTCTTAAGGACCAGAGTGTTGTCATCCCTTAGCCACTCCCAGATGTCTTGGCACTGTGGGTGTTGGGCGAAGGGAGTGCCACCCTAAAACAAGCCTAGTGAGACTGAAGTCACTACCTCAGTGACTGTGAGAGCTGGTGGGGCAATCTAGCCCCCCAGGATAGAAATTCTTCCATACTTCCCTTTAGACAGAAAAGCCAGAGAGCCCTACCTTGGAACTCTTTGAATTTTGCAGTTTCTATTTGAAAATAAAAGTTAGCAAGGTTGTTTTAGCTATCAATGTCTTTGTTCCAAAACTAGCAGTCTGGAGATAAGATGCCCAAGTGGGTGGCTGGCACATGGATGTTGGTGGTTCTCCATATTTGATTTGATAAATAACTTTTTACTGAAAGGACTGGCTCGTACACACCTGAGTTAAGGTGGTATTGTGGGGAGAGATTTCATTGCTGACGCTGAGGCTGCCTCCCAGCTGTCTGGCAGAGAAAGGCTCTGTTGTTTCTCTTGCCTCATTGTGTATAAACCCAGGATCCAGGGAGCAATCTCCACACTCCACCCTGTGGAATGCCTAGTGAACAATGCTGCCTCCCGAACTGACTTGGATTCTGTTGCTCTTCACCTGGGGAACAGTCACCTCCTGTCCCTTTGCCACTGCTGAGTGCAAGGTGGTGAGCCCTGCCTGAAGGGGTCAATACATGTGGCATGTCTACCACTGAACTGTTTGCAGACAGGCGAGTGGCGTATTCTGCAGGACTTGCTCTACCATACCCTATGTTGCAGGTCTGCCTGGCCCTGCCCTGATTCTTTCAGCAGCATGCATGGTTGTCAGGGGTTCTTAGGGATTGTCAGGGGTTGTTAGGGGTAGCGCTGGGAGGTGGTGTTACTTCCTTCTCATCCTTTCTAAAGCACAGCACATGGTGAGCCCTTATTCTTATCTTTCCCCCACTCTTTCTGCTCTCATTTACTCCAAGTTTCTACCATCTCCTCCACGATTGTTGGAGTGGCCCCTCCAGGGACCTCGCTGCCTTTCCCTTGCCCACTTCATCTTTCCTCAGCATAGAGACAGACCAGAGAGACCTGAACATGCATATCTGACCAGGGTCTCTTCTCACAAGCACCTAACATCCATTCTAACCCTAGAGAAGATAGGGACTGTCCTTATAAACCTTCGTATTGTGACACCCGGCTGCAGACACCCTGGTCCATCCTCCTGTTGCTGGCAGCTGGTTGTCTCTGCACTGGCCATAACTCCTTGCTGGCCAAGCTTGCTGTTTGGGAGTTCTGTGTTTTCTCCTTGCTCAGTCCTGATCAGCCTCCCTCCAAATATCCACGCACTCTTCTTCTTGCCTCCTTTAGGTCTAGCGGGTTGTAACATTATCACACAGGCCTTCCCGTTTGCTATTTCAGATAATAAACCCAGCTTTGGATTTCCCAAGTCTCGCATTTCACTTTTTGTCACGGTGTATGTCATGTCAGCTGTCCTATATAATGCCATTTGCTTATCTCTGCTACTAGAACATGAGTCCCATAAAGGTTTTCAGGGCCTAGAAAGGTACCCGCTGGTAAGCACCCTGATATTTCTGAAATAAATAATAGCTATGTTTATTGAGTGCTTACGATATGCTGATTTAAGTACCTTACATTTCGCTTTGTTTGTTATCATAACTTTACAAAGAAAGCATTAATGCTATGTCCCAGTCAGGAAACATGAAGTCTACAGTGTGTAAGATGCTTGGGTCCCCAGTGAGTGTGGCACTCCACTGTGTAAGATGCTCAGGTCCCGAGTGAGTACAGCACTCCAGTGTGTAAGATGCTCAGGTCCCCTTTGAGTGCAGCACTCCAGTGTGTAAGATGCTCGGGTCCCGAGTATGGCACTCCAGTATGCGATTTCTGCAAAGGAAAAGAGCCAATAGGAGATGCATGTAGATAAAACCTATAGATGTGGCTACATGTGTCCTTTTAAATACAGCAGTATAGTATATATGTCCAGACATACACACATGCAGTGAGCTTTAGGGATTTGATTAGAGAGGCTGGAGTGTCAGGATATTCAGAGCCCCAAAGGAAGAACTTTTGTTGAATCCTTTGTCCAAGGCTCTCTAGAGACTGATTTTTTTCCTTTCCAGGCTCTCAATGGACATAAATGTTGACTACACTCCTCTACCAACATAACTGTCTAACATCTAAAATCGACCCTCGCAGCATCAGCTCGACAAGTGTCTTAAAAGTGCTTGAGTACTGTAGCCCAACTAGATGGTGTAGTAAACTCCCTACACAGTACCTGAGAGTGTTCAGTCTGATAGCCAGGCTCATCTTGTTCATGAAGCAACTGTACCTTATCCAAGGCGCACAGTCTCTTAGAATGGGCCAGCGAGAAGCCCTCCAGGGATAAACCAAGTAGAGACACCCCCAGTAGCTTCCCATCCTAGAAGTTTTTCCCAGACTTAAGACCACCTAACCCTCCTGGGTGGCCTCCACCTCATGTGGACAGTATAGCTCCAGCCTCTCCCCTACTCACTCTGGAAGCCTTGTTTTCTCTTATATCATCTTTTCTTGAGACAGTCTTACTATCTTGTGTAAACTGGCTTTCAGCTCCTAGATTCTGGAAATCTTCCTGCCTCTGTCTCCACAGTAGCTGAGACTATAAACCTGAGCTACTACAGTTGGCTTTGGCTTTTTCGACTTAGGTGTTTGAGTGCTGTGCCTGCATGTATGTATGTGCACCACATGCATGCTTGCTGCCCACAGATGTTAGTTCTGATCCCCTGTCGCTAAAGTTACAGATGGTTCTGAAGCACCGTGTAGGTGCTAGGGATCAAACTCAGGTTCTTTACGAGAGCAACAAATGTTCCTCATGCCAGAGCCTACTCTCCATCCGGCTTAGCCTTTTCAGTGGCGTATCATATGCTGAGAACTGCACTGGCTGCTTTGTAAATAGTTTCATCTTCTGAAAGTAAGGGAAGAGTTGAAGGGTACCCATCAAGGCTTGCTCTCCTTAGGGGCAGACATTAGTCACTGTGCTCAGTGACCTCTCAGAACAGGCTGAACCCACTTTACTATGATGATCAGACATAGCCAGAATGGAAGGGGGTTTCGTATGGGAAGCCTTCTCATCTGAAGGCTATGGCAACTGTGTATGCTGAGCTCATGTGACAGTCACTCTCAGAACACACACACAGAGCAAGCTTACAGGAAGGAAAGCACGGAGTTGTGGAATGAGATGGCGTTGTAGAAGGCTCTTAGCACTACTTTACAGCCACACGAGTCAACCAGGCCCTCACTGTCTCTTCACTTGAGCATCTAGTTTATAACAGCAGGCAATGCCGCCAAATCAGATTGTCTTGTTGAGGGCTGCACGGGCCCTGCTTGCCCTATGTCATGAGTCCCAAGCCAGTTGCAGGAGTGATCTCTCGCTAGGAAGGAATAGCAAAAGCAGAGAAACCTGTGGGCCTTCTCCTGCATCAGTAGGCACAGCAGGCTACAGCTGTCTCTGTCTCAGTCTCCCTTTCATGGTGATTTCGTTTCTCAGAAACGGCCTGGGCCACCACAGAACCATGTTAAGGTGGGCATGCCTTATGTCTGGCATCATCTGCCAAGTCATCATGCAGCATGGGCTGCCAATGGCCCTCAGAATCAGCCTGAGTCCTCGAGATGGAGCTGTGGCAGTCCAGAGACATCTACTGTCAACATGCTACCATGCTATACACACTGGCTTTTCTTTTACTTTTTTTTTTAAGATTTATTATTTATTATGTATATAGTGTTCTTTCTGCCCATATGTCTACCTGCAGGCCAGAAGAGGGCACCCGATCTCCTTACAGAAGACTGTGAGCCACCATGTAGTTGCTGGGAATTGAACTCAGGACCTCTGGAAGAGCAGCCAGTGCTCTTAACCTCTGAGCCATATCTCCCACCCCACACTGGTTTTTCATTGCATCCTAAGCACCAAGCATTGCCAGTCTACCACATTCCTTCCAGGTCATTCCTTCCCACTTCCACCCTGTAGGGATTCTGTCACTCCTTGGGGTTTCTGTATGCCAAGAGTACACCCAATTTATAGGTCATGGACATAGGTTCTATAGCTCCCGTTTTTAAGCCCTGTCCTCATGTGTATGTATACACACACACACACACACACACACACACACCCCATTGTTTATCTCTTTCCTCACTTAAGCTATCTCTCTTATCATCACAATTATCTATAACATTCACATTATTTGCTCTTTTTGATGCATTCCGTCATATGATAACTTTACCTTATATCACATTGTTATAGGAAACAGTTTTGTATACATGTCTTTACTTCTGGGGAATTAGTATCTTAGGATTCAGTTTCGGGGTCTACATCATGATCTAAAATGTACTTTCAGTATCCATCTATCAATATCTATCTATCTATCTATCTATCTATCTATCTATCATCTATCTAGTTTGTATGTGTGTGGTCTTTTTATGGATTGCCTCCTAAATAAAGTTGCGGAGAGGAGATGAGGCCTAGTGGTGATGACTCTAAAATGTGGGCTTTCTCTCTGTCCCTCAGCACCACCAGCTCTACAGCCAGCAGCTGTGACACGGAGTTCACTAAAGAAGACGAGCAGAGGCTGAAGGATTATATCCAGCAGCTCAAGAACGACAGAGCTGCCGTCAAGCTGACCATGCTGGAGCTGGAGAGCATCCACATCGACCCGCTCAGCTATGATGTCAAGCCCAGGGGCGACAGCCAGAGGCTGGACCTGGAGAATGCTGTGCTGATGCAGGAGCTGATGGCCATGAAGGTGTGCCGCAGGTGTTATTTGTGGGTCCACCTAGAGGGCTACCTCACAGGGACCTGAGAACATGGCAGCAGAGTTCAGTTAGTAATTGCCTCTGTCTGGATGATAGATAGCCAGTCTCTGCGGAGAATGGTGGCTTTCGTTTATGTAGAAGTCCTGTGGGTTGGACTCTATTGGAAAGGCAGTTGAACCCTAGAGGAGTTAGAGGTCTAGGTTAACCTTCTCAAGTTAACCTACACCTTCAGCCTTTATCAGTACATGATGATCCCTGATCTCAAGAGTGGTAGAAGTCCTTATTGGGTTACCCATGCTGGTGGGAGCTGGAACAGGAGGTGACCATGTCCAAGCCATCTTAGACTCTGGCAAAAAGCTCTGGTTTCCTGTCACCCTGGGCCTTTAGGAGCTCTAAGTCTGTTTAGTACTGGTGCTCTCCAAGGAGAGTTGGTAGAACGTTTCTGGCCAGTGTTCCACCAAGGTCTTGGGCTCTTCACCCATGGGCTGAGCTACTTGTTACTATTTATAGAGAAAGAATCCATTGCCCTTCGTTGGAAGTTAGTTACACTGCCATCCCTTCGGCTCAGGACACCCTGCCTCTCAACTGAGCCACAGCAGTGGGGGGAGCTGATTGGAGCAGCTGGTGCAGGTCCTCACCTCTGGATTGGGCTGCCAGGCCGTGGTCATCACGTCTCTAAGATGCTGGTGTTTAAATCAGGGAAGATGCGGGGCAGAAGGAAGAGATGTGGGAATCCAGGCATCCCTTCTTGGTACTAACCCATCCTGCTCTTCTTCATCCAGCCACTCGGCTCAGAGTGCTCACATTTCTCCAGCTGAGTTTGTAGGACAGCCTGTGAGCCTGGCCCTGAGTACATTAGCATAGCGACTGTGTCCCAGTCAGGAGCTTCTTTCGCAGACTCTTGTACCATGTGACATGAGCTATTAACTTGTTCTTCTATTTTTCACTCCGAACATCATGTTTTCTTTTATCCATAGACTAAGCATTTCCTTTTTATAGTCCAGTCAATATGTGGTGTGACAGATTTACTGTTAATTTGGCCATGAAAGACGTGTGTGCATGTATGTGTGTGTGCATGTGTGTGTGTGTGAATGCTCTAATATTGCCTTTGCCACTTGAATTAAACCGCACTCACCTGGGACGTTTTTTTGAAGGTGTAAAAGTAGTGAGCAGTTGGGAGAAACCATACCGTGGACCTCAGGACCCAGAGCAGTGGTTGTCCGTGTTCAGGCTTGGTTTTCCTTCTGAGTACTCAGAAAACTGACAACCAGCCCCATCTCCTTTTCTCTAATGTGTCCAGCGGTGTGCGCTGACCCACACATTCCCTAGTCAGTGGACTATGTTGGAATTCACCATTTTGTTTCAACATAAAAATGGTTTTGAGTAAACCCCACTCCTCTCTGGATGATCTATTTGGTTCTTTTAGAATTCCCTCTTATTTAATCCCAGCACTCAGGAGAGACAGAAGGATCTCTATGAGTTCAAGGCCAGCCTGGTCTACAAACGAGAGTTCTAGAACTGCCAGGACTGTTACACAGAGAAATCTTGTCTCAGAAAACATACACAAAAAGCATATGCTAACCATGAGTCCCTTCGAGTGGCTCATCTCCATCTCTTCTGGGGGTGGAATGTACATGTCTTCCTTGGAGAACATGTCTCTGTGGTCTCTGTGGGGTCTCACAGCACAGAACTCTGGCTGTCCTGATCCCTTGTGACCTGTGGATTGCAGAGTTCACGTATTCATTTTAATATGTTTTGGCATGAGGATTCTTGCATCATCCATATACAAGCTTGAATTTTGATTTTTCAAAAGAGCTTATTTCTTTCCTCACCCATAGCCCAAGAGATGACAAGTTGCCTTCCCACAGTCCTAGAAAAGCCATTTCCTAGTGTTTTATTCAGGCAGTACTTCAAGAGTCCTTGCTGACATAGGTGGTATCATCATGGCTGTCTGCCTCACAGAGGCCACGGCCAGCTCTTTCATGGACCTAATACCACAGATACCAGGAAATCAGAGCAAACTGTTGCCTCAAGCTGCCTTGTGAGTCTCAACTGCAGACTGATGCCCGTACTTCTGGCACTCCACAGACATTCTCCTTTCCTTCCAGGAAGCTTGCTGTGTGTGTGTGTGTGTGTGTGTATGTGTGTGTGTGTTCTGAGAGTGACCGTCACATGAACTCAGCATACACTGTTGCCATGGCCTTTGGATGAGAAGGCTTCCTGTGCCTTCCTGTGTCTGATCATTATAGTAAAGCGGGTTTGGCCTGTTCTGAGAGGTCACTGAGCACAGTGACTAATGTCTGCCCCTAAGGAGGACAAGCCTTGATGGGTACCCTTCAACTCTACCTTACTTTCAGAAGATGAAATGTTTTACTTTCTGTGGACTCTTTAAACAATGCTATGTGCCCAGGGAAGACTGGTGGGCGCCAGTTTTCTGGATCCTGGTCCAGGCTAGTACTTTCCTATTTTGAATTCACGTCTTACTTCAAAGAAAACGACCAGTTAAACATTTTAGATTTTCAGAATTTACCTCTCTGTGGGTCGGCTCAGCATGCACATGCCCTTAGGTTCAATTCCCAGCACAGAGAAAACAAAAGGACCTTATCTGATGGGTAATTTCCAGTGGGGGACCGCTCCTGCTAATTTCATTTGGCCCCTCTGAAGCAGATACAATTCTAATTAGCATTCTTTGACCCTCCTGGCTCAGCTGCAGGGTGACAAGAGTGACATGAAATATGGTGTCACGGGAGTGAAAGGGGAGTGGGAAGGAGCCCAGGCAGATCTCTTTGCATGGATATTTCCCCCACAACCCTAGCCTTCCATGCCAGGGAACTGACTCTCTCCAAAGCAACTGTGTCCATTTGGGGTCCTCTAGCATCTTAAAAGATTTTCCCTTACACCAAAGCAAAGTCTGCTTGCTTGTGATTTCTACCCATATGAAAATTCTAGCCTACAGGATGACAAAGCAGCTGCCTTGTCTACCTATCAGCCCTTCAGACAGACATGGGGAGACGGTTTGTCCCTAGCTTTGGGAGTGATATCTGGACTGTGCAACCATGGCAGCCCTGTGGGAGTACCGGGAAAGCTTCTCATGGCTTTATGTGCCTTGTCCCACAGGAAGAGATGGCTGAGCTGAAGGCACAGCTCTACCTGCTGGAGAAAGAGAAGAAGGCCCTGGAGCTGAAGCTGAGCACAAGGGAAGCCCAGGAGCAAGCCTATCTAGTGCACATCGAGCACCTCAAGTCTGAGGTGGAGGAGCAGAAGGAGCAGAGGATGCGGTCTCTGAGCTCCACGAGCAGCAGCGGCAAAGAGAAGCCTGGCAAGGTAGGGCCAGGATGGCGTGCGGGTACCCTGAGTGCAGGCATTACCTTCTGCCTTTACCAAGATGGCATGAGTACCCTCAGCGTGTGCATTATCTTCTGCCTTTACCTTGGTCCATCTCTCATGCTGTTGCCTCAGTTTCCCTGTTTACACAGGCACCAGAGGTTATGAGGTATTTGTAAAGAAACGAAATCCCCATTAAAAAGCAACATCTCACATTTTATCAAAGTTTGGGCATTTTTGCACATCACTGTCTCATCAGAGAAGTGGCCTGTGCAATGGGGTCCCACCCGGCTTCTAGCTGTGCCCCACGACAGCCATCGCTGGGTTGAGGTGCTGGCACTTCCATGTTGTTATCTGTGCTTATCTCCCTTAAATGTCTGAGCAAGGAATGCCAGTCTGCATTTACATGAGGAACATAAGATTCCAGAGGTGAGAGGCGCTGCTACCATCAACAATGGCACAGGGCTTAAATTACACCTGGCTGCCTTCTCCACCACCTAGCTCCCAGTGCCTTAGGAAGCAGGAAGGGTAGGTGTGAGGGAAGGCTTGGATTAACCTATATATGAACAGAGACCGGGCTTCAAGTAAAAACATTCACAGACTCTCGTATTCACATCAGCCCCTCTCCCGCACCCCAGGGGTCTTTGCGAGAATCCGAGATCATCCTGTCATTTTGTATTTCTTTGTATTTCCCTTCGACAGCTGCACTGGAAAGAAAGAAACCTAAATGGTTCAGACCCTAATGGATTCTCTCCGTCCCTCACTCAGGGAACTGCCTGTTCAACACATCCATTCAATATTTCCTAATATCAAACTTCCCCTGACACCTGTGTGCTCAGATGCAGGACTTGCAGGCATATGCTGACTGGCTGGCTGTGGAAACAGTTTCTCACAGTGCAGTTGTAGTTACTGCAGGGTGTCTCCAGCGAAGTGGGGTACTTAGGAGGGAGGGAGGGAAGGGAGGGAGGGAGGGCGGGCAGAAGGGCAGGCACTGGTATTGTGCCAGTGCTGCTTCCTAAGTAGCTATGAAATCTGAAGCACACCGCACAAACAGCTGGCAGCGTCAGCGTCCCTACCTCGCTCTGCAGATGAGCCCACGACACTCGCATGAGGCCCTCATGCACCCCACACACCTATTCTCTTGCATGCTATGACTAGATGCCACGGCAGCCAGACCAAGGGGGAATTGCTGTTGTCCAGGAGTGTCTGCTGGAGCCCATGGACAACCGTGTTCACAGTACAGTCAGAGGGTGTCCAAATGCAGGTTTCAACTGCCAGTACCCTGTGAGGTCATGGTCAGGTCCCCCAGATTAGAGGTTTAAGAGGAGAGGGCCCCAGTAGGGGTGGGAGCTAGTCTTTTGAAGTGGATTGAGTGGAGATCAACAAGGCCTCCAGCAAGGCGAGGCCTGAGATGGAAGGGTATCAATGTGTTGGCCCAAAGGCTCAGTTTGCAGTGTTTACCCAAGGACAGTGGGCAATCAGGGAAGGGCTGGAATGGGATTGGCATGGCTCAGGATCTGGAAGCTGCTATGCCAAGTGCAGTAACACTCAGGCGGAGGCCGTGTGGTGGCGCTTCCTGTAATCGTAATCGTATCCAGGTTTAAGCAGACATTTTCTGTTACATTCACCTTCAGAAGCTTCGCATGGCCTTTTAAGTTTGCTGGTCAGTTAGGGACAGAACCTTCAACAGAGCGCCAGTCTATGTATGTTCTTCGGGTGTGGTAAAATGGACTTAGTGGGTTCTTGCCGAAGGCCCATGAATGAACATTTCCTCACAGTTCTTGGGATTTATTTTGACTAAGAGTACCGTGCTCTGCAGTGGCTTCAATACACAGACATTTCTCGGCCAGGCCAGGCCAGGCGGCTTTGAAAAGCAACTCTGAAAGAAGTGAAGTAAGTGAGGTACTCAGTGCCCTCAATGTGTAATTCAGTAGAGTCAGATGGTTATTCTGACTCTCAGATATTAGCTCTGTGTATTATTTCAGTAAAGTCTTCCACTTTAGAGTCTAGGCTATTCATTGGTGTTATTTGCTAGAGATGAAGGAACCAGTACAGAGAAAACAGCCAAGCTTTTGGGAGCAGGGTAGAAAGAAAATTCTTGGGAGTTTGTCCATCAAACCAGCTTCAGCCGCCCAAGGGAAACAAGTGTTTCCTGCATACCCAAACTGCAAAAGCCTCAGGCAACTTGGATGAGACAGGGAGCCCTGTCTGTTGATGAGTCTTTGATAGGCATTGCAATTTGAGTGTCCTATCAATTGCTTGTGGCAAAATAGTCTTCTTTGAACTTTTTTTTCTTTCAAAATGAACAAACCATTCCTAGTCCATGGACTGTATGTATCCAGGTGGCAGGTCACAGATGAGCCTACAGCATCAGTTCTGTCCTGGAGTAGGTGATCCCGCCTATCTTTGAAGGTTCTCTCCAGCTCATGTAGCTGGTTCCTAGTTCCTATCCACATTGCGTTAGGCTTTCTGCTATTCTTGTCTATATGAAACAGACATTGTCATATATCAAAAGGCCCTGTGGGTGAGGCAGGGAGTCTTATGAAATGCTAACATCAACCATGGATGCATTAAAAGTAAAGGAGCTTCTAGAATTGGACTGATTTCCCAGACAGTCTTGGGCCTCTGAGGGTGTTATTTGGAGAGGTACAACCCAGGTGAATGGCACAGGAGAGGGAATGCGTTGGCCAGGCTACACTCAGGCACCCCCTGGAAGAGGGCCACAGTCTTTTAGAGTAGGCTAAGGAGCAGATGTGTCTCCTGCCATCAGGACTTTAGGGCCATTGTGATATCTCTCTTCACAGTCTGTCTTCTGTTACACAGAATAAGCTTCCTATTCTCAGGCCTGGAACACAACATCATCAGTGTTTATCCCTGGTCCCTAGCCCCTAGCACCAGCCACCTCATTTTGCAGGATACCCACTGATTAGCATATCTGTAGAGAAAAATCGCTTTCTTGTTTAGACATGGCTAATGCTTGCTTGTCACTTCAAGAGTTCTGATCTTACAACCCTTGTCTGTTAAGGCAAGACACAAAGTCTCTGTGTGATGCTGCTGCATGGGGCTCCTAGGAGAGGGAAGGGGGGCTTGTTTTTCTGTTGCTCACCTAAGTTTTATGATTCCATGCAACATAACAGAGCTCCCCCATCTAGAGAAAGCGAGCTGGTATGTGCCAGCAAGGACATTTATGTGTATTTGCCTTCTGAAGAGATTCACATGGGGCCTGGCTTTGAGTTCTGGATTTGCTAGCTTCTAGCTAGTAACTGGGCAGGGTAACCCCAGTGCCTGGGTTTCTTCCGTGGTGGATGAAGACAATGGTAGATAGTATAGCTGCCTTGGAGGGTCCCTAGTGACAAGGGAGTAGTGGCGTGTGGCAAACTAACTTAGACCTGTGTAGTAAGTGTCCCTCAGGGGTTTTCCTCATTCAGGGCAGCACATGATGGTAACAGGAAATCGGGGAACAGAGGAGACAAAAAGATTTGCTGCCTGGCTTTCCACCAGTTGGCCCACGGGTCCCACAGGCATGGCACTGCTGTCTTGTGTCCCACAGTGGCGATGGCTGTTGAAGTGCCTCTGGGCTTTGCTTCTCATCTGACAGTGACTGTGTTTGCTCTTCTCAGGAGTGTGCTGATGCTGCCTCCCCAGCTTTGTCGTTGGCTGAAGTAAGGACAAACAGTGACAGTGACCTGGCCACAGAGTTTGCCAGTGCCATCCGACGGTAAGCAACCCTCAAGCCCCCATGTTGCTCCTTTCAGCTGTGAGGGCTTCTTGGCACACTGATGGCAGCTGCTCATCCCAGCCCGTCCAGGGTCATACTGGTCTTCCTGGATAGAAGGCACTAATTCCTCTTACTTGTGCCCCAACACTGCAGGCTAGAAATGGAAAGACCTGCTGTTTTGAAAAGTGATTGCTGGATGTTGGCAAATAGACAGTCATTCCATTTGCACGTAAAAAAAATTTATTGGTTTGCACGTTGCCACGTTGACTAGACTCTTCCAGATTTGGTAATTGGTGATAACGAAAGCCGGCATCCTCCCCTTTCTAGACATCTTTAGTGGGACTGCATTCTTCAGCATCAGGAGCCCTTGCCACTGGGAGGGAGGCCTTGTGTCTTTCCTCAGTTCTTAGACATTTTCCTCCGATATTTCAGTGTTTCTTCTCCCACATTTGACTTCTTTTCCAAAGAGAGAGAGAGATGCCAAGGCACTTAGACTTCACAACCTAACGTCCCCTGCTGCGTTGGAGCCCAGAGTATGTCTGTCCAACAGAGTAGTATCTTCACGTTTTCTAGTACTTACATGAAAAGGTCAATTAAATAACTTATTTAACTCACTATACCCCAAATACCACTTCAGTCTGATATGTATTTTATACCTACATTACTTCCCAAGACCAAACCAATCAAAACTCAAGTTCTCAGTAGTTGCATGTATCTGTTGCACCCCATGTCTGTATGTAGTATGTGAAACACACGGTAGCATGTCATAAAGAGGGGCCTGTCAGCTGGGCTTTGCAGCTCACTTCATCTTTGGTTGTAGTTGCTGTGGTGGGTCAGTTTATTCAGTTTGTGTTTATTAATTTTGGTGCTGAAATCATCTTTATAATTTAAGTGATGTCCTCTTGTATCTTTATGAGGATATTTATTGTATTTATTCTTCAATTTCATCTTGTCCCTAGCCACCTATTCCCTTGGAATTGAGCTGTGCCCAAACGTTTACTTGCTGTTTCTGGTTTGTGGACTTGTATTTCTTTCTTTTCATTTGCTTTGTTTATTCAAAACACGGTTTCTCTGTATAGCCTTGGCTGTCATGGAACTCACGCTGTAGGCCAGGCTGGCCTCCAACTCCAAGATCTGTCTTTCTCTGCCTCCCAAGTGCTGGGATTAAAGGCGTGCACCAGTGCTGCCCAGCTTGTATTTCGAAGTATTGCCATCAGATTGAGCTCCACCTCCCTCTCTCTCTCTCTCTCTCTCTCTCTCTCTCTCTCTCTCTCTCTCTGCATGTTTCCATGAGGTTCTGTATACCACGTGTGTCAGTTCATCAACGGCGCTGTTTGTCCCTGCTGGCTGACAGTCTGTGAATCTCTAGCTGACCCAGCCTGGGCCTGTCTTGTTGAACCAGCTGGCACTCTGATTCCATTCAGATCCCCCTGACTCTCCTTCCCACTGCAGGGGCTTTTTCTCAGTGAAGGTTTCCTCTTTTAGGAAATTGTCTGCCTTTCCCTTTTCCTGGTCACTCCTGGTTTCTGATACACAGGGGCATTAGCTGCTTTCGAAAATGTTAAGCAGTTTTACAGAATTCTTTCCCTATTATTTCTTAGGGATTTGCTGTGGGAAATCCTGACAGTGGACTCTCAGCTAGCTTGATCCCACTATGATCCCTCTGTGTGGTGTGTCTTATACTATGGACTCCCAGTTGACTGAAGGTGACCTTGTGGGGCCTTTCCTACCTTCCTGGCTCTCTCAGTCTCTCAGCCTTTCTTTCTAAGTTAGAACGGCCCTGCATTTACTTCGCAAGTACCTCCTGGGCTATTGCTCCATTGAGATTGCTCTGCCTGGGGCAGAAGATGGGCACATGCCTGAACAAATGCACTAACTTCCTTGTGCCAAAGACTGGGATGAAAATCCACTCTCTGGGTCCAGTGGGGGAGCCATGTAGATATTGTATTTGTTAACTGGGCTTGTACATTTTTTAAATTCCCAAAGCCCCAGAGGGTTTTGCTGGCACCAGAAGGATGCAGGTTATGCTGACTAAGCATAAAGAGGTTTCATTTATCCCGTCGAGATAGATTCCCAACAGCCAGCCATAAGTTGGTTAGCATGGATTTCTAATCAAGAGCCAGATCTATGGAGCCAAGAAAGAACCAGAGAAGCCAGAGGAAAAAGGAAAATAACACAATTAGACCATAAATATAGCTTTGAAATGGGAATCGTCATTTCATGAGGGAGCACAGTCCAGACACCGGAAGAGGTTAGGGGACATTTCTAACTTTAAAGCTGGAATGAAAACAAACACCTTTCAGAAGGTGTCCGTCTGGTCCCTAGCAGGCTGAGTGGGGGTGTACTGCTGGTGTTTTCAGTTCTCTTTCCTGGGAGAAGAACTCCAAGGGCAGTGCTTCCTGCAAAGTAGAACAGTGGGGCTTGGGGTGGAGGGAGGAGCGCTGATCCCTTCGCAGAGAGAGCCAGGCATCTGTAACACCAGGTACTCCACCTGTCTTACTGCCCATTCCCACCCGGTTTTGGTTTCTGTTAGGCTTTCACCCTTGAGCCTCTTGGCATGTCCTTTTTCTTCCTTTGGATACAAAACATTTCTTTTATTTACTTCTTTTTTCTTTTTAAAGATTTACTTATTATGTATACAATGTTCTGCCTGCATGTATGTCTGCAAGCCAGAAGAGGGCACCAGATCTCATTATAGATGGCTGTGAGCCATCATGTGGTTGCTGACCTCTGGAAGAGCAACCTCAAGTCACGTGTTTCAAATGCTTCTCAACCCAGTTTATAATCCAGCCATTCCAGATAAATAGTCTTTCTGAGCCCGGGGCCCAGTCCCCTCCTATTCAACCTCTGGAAACCCACATCTCTCAGTCATCACCCTGGGTATCTTCTCTGCGTCCACAATGGTGCAAAGGGTCCATCAGTGTCCTTGGAGCACTTGGCTGTTAGTAAGATGCTCAAAATTCAGAGTCTCAGTTGCAACATCATGAACATACTTGTGGAATCTTCGCCAAGAGGGAGAAAAAGATGCTATTTGTTTCAGTAGCTATGCATGAATACTCTTCTAACCCATATACCTAAGGGGATGGGTGAGGAGAAACGTGGGCAATCCGGGCATAAGGCTTCTCAGCAGCAGCACCCCTGAGCCAAGAGCAGCAGGATCTGCACTTGTTAGTGGGAGCATGACTTCGAAAGATGCCTTTTAAAAAATTTACACTAGCTGGTTCCTCACACTCAGCTGATTTATAGTAGCAATCAAGCGCTAGGAGTGGCGCCAAAATATTCCATAAATGCAACATGGGTCTGCAGGATGCTAATGAAATACAGAGTGGGCCTGTGGATTGATTAGCATGGAAATAAATTGCTGAGGCCCAGAGCCAGGGGAGGTAAAGACTGACACCCACCCAGGGGTTTGAAGTGGTTGTTCCTTGAGTCATTGAGATGTCCTTTGTCATTGTCTAGTGTTTCAAAAGCCCAGAGTTGGCAGCCTCACCAGGAACAGCAGAGAGGCAGAGTGGTAAGGAGCGCCCTGGTACATGGCAGTCATGGACAAGGTAGCATTGTGCCCGTGATCTTGCCAAGTTCATCTCTTGAACACTAAAAACATGCTCCTCAGAGAATCTGGGCAAAAGGACTGCTGCTTTTCTCCTCCTGCTGTTCCTCTTGGTAACTCCAGCTCAGCTCAGACAGAACTGGAGAACCTCGTTATCTGGGGACACATAATCCTGACCCCACACGCCCGTGCTCTTAAGCAGAGTCCTGTTTATTGTACATCCTACTTATCTCCTATATGAGTCACAAGCTTCTTTAGCAAGGTGCTTAAGCACCCGGGCTCTGCTGGTAGATCCCAGGGTGTGGACGCCAGCCAGCGCTGCAGCACCCAGACCGGGCCTCGGATCACTCACTTGTCTAGTGAGCACAAGAATCATGCTGATGTCAAAGGCTTCTGTGAGAAGTGATTTTATCGTGGAAAAGGACTTAAGGATAGCTGTTATCTGCTGCCTGGATAGTCTAAATGCAAGCAGTTAAGAGAATAAGGTGGTGGACATGAAGGAGAAAGAGATCAAAGGGATCTTAGCAAACCATGGTACATCTAGCTGGCAGTGACTAACAGGAAGAGGCAAAGTGCTGTCATGTCCTGTCTCTGGGCCACTTGTCCACCGCTGACGGTGGCCTGAGAGTGATATTTAAACTGAAGAACGAGCAGAGGATTGGGAGACCATCCCAGGGCAGAGCCTTGAAAGTAGAGATGAGTCCACATACATCCTTCCAAGTTTCAGTAGAAGGCACCAGAGGGAAGTATTCTGACCTGGTTTTCCACACTGAAAAAGAGACCTGGCTGCTGTGTGAAAGCCAGATCAGTAGGAGGTCCGTGCAGAAGCAGAGAAGGTTGCTATGCTTATCTAGGTGGGACAGAATGGCAGTCTGGACCTGGTGGTGGTGGCAGAAGGGGGCATTAAGACAAGACTTGTGATACATTGGATGATGAATGTAGGTAGGTGGTGATGAAGGTTTGATCTGGTTATGACTGTACACATGGTAAATAACGGTGTTGCCATTTGTCAACATGAGAAGCGTGACTTAGTGTAGAATGTCAAAAGTTCTCCTCTGGAAATTAAGCTAATGATGAGGTGTGAAGCCTAGAGATCCGAGGAAAGGCCCGGAGGTCAAGATTTGGCCGTATAGTTTTAAGGAAAATAAATGGCAGTGGACAAAAAGAAAGGGTAAGAGACAAAATCTAATCCGACCAAAGTACTGAGTGATTCCCAATGTTCAGAAGTGGAGTTGAGAGGGAAAACAGGGAAACGAAGATGCAGATGGACTCTGGGCCCTGCACTGTCCAACGGCCCAGAGGGTCATGATACAGTAAGATACAGTCAGGGCACTGACTATTGTACCTGGCTCGGCGAGTCATTCCTGTGGCGTGGATGCTGACTGGAACTGAGTACTTGGCAGGCGAGGAAGACAGGTCGCCTGAGTAGACAGTTCCTGGAGGAACCCGGCCTGTAAGGTGCACGGCTATGACTCCTTGCTGTTTGATCTGGATTCAGTTCTTGTGAATAGCTCTGTGGCCTGCTGTCAAGCCACGCAGGACAGGATATATGCTCACCGGAGACTTAGCTGAGTCACAAATCACTTCTCCTGGCCTTAGAGGACACTCTGTTCTCCCGCTTGTGTACAGCTGTGATTCTGGCTGCCAATCCCTGGGCTAGTCTTACCTCAGGGGCCTGCTTACCAGCCCCTCCCCTACCTTATAGGCAGCTGACTTGGCTTCCCTTAGTATTGATAACCCCACCTCATAAATGCTTTGTGGGGACTCCTCTGCTTGGAACTGTGACAGCGCACACTTAACCACCTACTACCTCCTTTGTGGTAAGACACCACCTTTTATGACCATAAATACTCCATTTTCTGATGAGGTGCTGATACTGGAGCGGGAAGACTCATAAACCTGATCTGGACCGTTGATCTTCGAGTCCTATTCCACATATAAAGTTATTCTGTTTTCACCTGATGGTATTCACAGCAAAAGAAAAAAAAACTCCAAGAGATTGTGCAATTCTGGGTAATCCCTGGAACACTGTGAACACATCCGTACTGAGGTAGCAATTTGTATTTAATTTTCTCATGTGTGAAGCCAAAGAAAATGCTTGCATTGGCATTCTGTTCTACATACAGAAACCACGTAAATTCTTCCCGTTCTGATAGCCAAGCACATCAAGTTGGAAACTGGAAGGAACAGGACGTTAGAGGTGGGGAGTTCAAAATGACTGAGACAGGCAAGTGGATTCTTAGATTTTCCAAGTCATCCTGTGAGTGGGGAAAGAGCCAGAAGTCCTCTTAGTTTCCGAGGGACCTCAACTGGGGCCAGGCCCAGATCCCTGGCTGCGGCCCAGGAACCTCAGGACTGGCCGCCATGCAGCGGAGTTTAGAATGAAGGTTGCTTCTCCGAACTAACTCTACCTGCACCTAGACAGAAAGACATAGCCAGGTCTAGGGTGCGCTCATCAAGGACGAGCAGCGGAGTGCTAGACACGCTCAGGGGGGTGGGGCAGAGGAGTCACAGCTGTCTCAAGATTAACCATCCCTGCTGGTTTCTCTCAAATCCGCCCCACTCCCATTTATCACTTCGATAAGTGATAGGGTGACTCCAGCTACTTTAGGCTTACAGGCTGATAATGTGAAACACAGTCACGTGGTCTGCACAAGGGGTTGGTAAATGTTCTTTCCTTGTCTGTGGCTGGGAAGGGAGAGAAGTGCTGAGCTGAGTTCTTGATTCATCAACAAGAGGCTTCAAGCAGTTGGGGGAGGGGTTCCCTTCCTTCTATGTCCCCATAATTCTTTTTCTACTATCGTCTGAGCTACAAGTCGCATACATCATTTTACATTTCCTAGATTCCATTAAAGATGCAAAACATGTGAAATTAATTTTAACAGCACAGAGTGTAGATACCACTTGCTCAATTCCTAGCATTGTTCCCTTAAATATGACTGAATAGCACTATTATATTTAACTCAATATAGCATTATTTTGGCTTGTCAGGATTTTAAAAATTGAGGTATTTAACTTTATTATTGAAGTTTCAAACTGCAGTCTCCATTTTACACTTACATGGTATCTCTTGCCTTCCACACTAGATTCGCAGTTACTTCAGCATGGCATTGTTGGGATCCTGGCAACTGATCTATGCCCTCTTACTATAGGTCTATCCCTCTCAAAACAGCCAAAAGGGCCTAAGTTTGAGGTGTGGCCGATTTTTGGATCTTCAAATAAGTGCCCTAGTTTCCTGGTGTCTAGTCTTCTCTCGTGGAGATGTCTGAGTGGTCCTAGAGGGGCACTTCTGAGCTGGCCACACTCTTGTTACCTTGGGCCTGCCTCCTTCCCTCCATCACCACTGCCTACTGATGGCTGCTGCTATCTCTCTGATACAGGGAGAAAAAACTGAAGGCCAGAGTTCAAGAGCTGGTCAGCGCCTTGGAGAGACTCACCAAAAGCAGTGAGATCAGACACCAGCAGTCAGCAGAGTTTGTTAATGACCTGAAGCGGGCCAACAGGTAAAAACAAAACAAAACCCTCCTGTGGGGCCCAGAGGCTGGGCATAGGGAGATCTTTCCCTGTCTCCTGGGAAGTGAGTAGGGTCTACAATACAGTTGACCATAAACCAGGGAAGTAAAGGTGTACACCATTTCCGATGAGATGGGCTTATGAAAATGAAGTCTATTGTGTTTTCTTCTTGATGATTTCTATGATAAAGATTCTGAGAATTCAGGAAAAAAAAATTCTGCGTTTGAGCCAGTGTTTTCAGTTGGCAATCAAACCATCCATTAGAACAATACCTCATCTAGTGGGATAGTTTAAGGTTCTCAAGACTCTTAAGAGCTCAAACCTTTGTTTGGGGTACATGATCTTTATTTTAAAAAATGGGGACTCCAGAACCTTTGTGTCTATAAGATACTTATATCAGGAACTAATACTGAGGCAGACTTTTAAAAGTATTCATTTGCAAAATTCAAGCTTAGTAGACACCGTACTATTACGAAAACTGCTTTTCAAATTGTAATTAGAATGGCACATTTGAATTTTGTAAAAATGCCTACCTTAATAGGTCACCTGGATTTCTGTCTGCTTTGCCATCAAGAGTTTTAGGATCCCGAAAGGGTGCGTGTGTCCTCAAGTCACACTTTAGGGGCTCCAACTAGGGTAACACAGTGTACCTGAAGGGAGCTTCTGTTCTATTTTGGAGCAGAGAGACTATGTAGAGACACCTGGGCTTGTTTTCAGTCTTGCTACAGTGGGCAGCGGTCCAGGGCCAGTCCACAGGTCTATGTTCCTTAGCGGACATCATTTCCGGACAGTCCAAAGCACTGCAAAGTTGCTGCCCTTCTCCTGGGTGAGAGAACACTTTCTGTCACTTATACTTGACCATCTGCAGCTAGCAACCGTGAAACAAGTACTTAAATCTTTATTTGATTTTCTATAACTCAGCACCCTCCTTCTTACCTGTTTTGGAGTGATGGCCAGTTTGGCCTGCTGGTTGTCCCCTCTAGGCTAACACAGCATACAGCCTGGGCCTCGATTAGTATGCCTACGCCAGAATCCCAGTACTGTACAGTTTCTAATCTCTGGGCTTTGGATCCCTACGGAAGAGGCCTCTGTGCTCCCCAGTGCCACATGGAGAGGGTGTCAGTCATTCCTTAGTATGAATCTACTCACTTTCCTCTGTTCCCACAGTAACCTGGTGGCTGCCTATGAATCTACTCACTTCCCTCTGTTCCCACAGTAACCTGGTGGCTGCCTATGAGAAAGCAAAGAAGAAGCATCAAAACAAGCTGAAGAAGTTGGAATCTCAGATGATGGCTATGGTGGAGCGACACGAGACCCAAGTGAGAATGCTCAAGCAAAGGATAGCTCTGCTGGAGGAAGAGAATTCCAGGCCACACACCAACGAAACCTCGCTTTAACAGGCACCCAGGGCAAAACTCCAGGAGCTCCAAAGTCCTCTGCAGAGAAAGGGCCCAAGGAAGGGGAAGACTGCATAGAGGTCACGGGCTCCACTCCTGGCCTGAGAGGTCATGATAGCACTGTGGATAGAGGGACAGAGTAGGAAACCTCTCAGCCCTTCCTTCGCCCAGTCTCCAGATGCTCCAGGACTGGCCACAAAGGGCATCAGCAATGGCTCCAGCTAAGTGCGTAGCCAGCCATGTCGTTTCTGTTCTTACCACTCACGCTCTCACTTGCTCCGTAGCATTTCGGTTTATGTGGATTTCCGAGCCTTTTTTTATTTTTATTTTTTTGCTTTTCATAGACTGGACTTTTTTTTTTTTTTTCCTTCCTCGTCCAAGAGGAAGGTGGCAAGTGTTTTGTGTCTCCAGCATTTAGGGCTGGCAGCCCATTGCAGCAAGGCTCTGGCTTCCAGGTCCTAGGGTACCAGATTCCTGAGATACAGTCAAATAGAGAGATTAGTTGGGAGTTACAGATCACAGGATGGCACACAGTGTCACTGGTCATCCCAGACACACCGGTTTCAAGTAGAACATCGCCAAGGCTGTGTGTAGACAGTTCTGCACTGGACAAAAACCTGCTCATTTTTATTTTACAGTGAGGGCTAGGGCTGAAGCTGTTTTAATTTTTGTCTAATACTCTTGATGTTTGTAGTGAAGCCAAGATTTTGCCAGGGGCTTCTTCCAGAACAGAGAAAAAAGCTCTATTAGCGCTTTCCCAGCCCCAGGGCACCGTAGTTCCTATTCTGAATCAAAACCTAGAGTACCTGACTCTCTTAAAGGCAAGAGGGTTTGCATTGTTGGACACCGAGGAGACCTTTAATGCTGTACAAGATGGTTCCTACCTATTTAATAGAGTGCTACAGAACCTATAGTTCCCAACAATCAGGATGCTTAACTAGAAGGGGAAGCTGAAGCAGGGATGACAGTCACCCTGCTGAGAACCTATGCTTCTAGATCCATAGTTCCTACACACAAAAACAGACCACAAAGCAACAATCCTACCAGGCCTTAGTCTGAGTTTCTAAGTGAATAAATATATGGTGTATAAAAACCATGTGCCAGGCTAAAATGCCACATTTTTAAGTAAGTGATAGGGGCTATACAATCTTTTCCTTGTAATTTTCAATCTTTGAGGGTTGACGCAGCAGGCATTTGATTGTGTGAATTGTTGCACTGATTAAATACATGATAGCAGGTGCCTGAGTAATTTTTCTTTTTGTTTAACCTGGCTCTTCCAAACCTACTTTTAAATAGGAAATGGCTTCCATTAACATGTCTATTATGGTGAACAAAATTATCTTTATTTTAATTTCTATGAGGCTTAAAGCCTTCAGAATTTTCTATTTTTGAAATGCCACCACCAAAGTCTTTAGTGTTTCTCTCTTTAGGTAGTCACTTTTGCTAAAGCCACTTTCGGCTCATAAGAAAATAAGCAGAGCAAACAGGTCCACGAGGAACCGTCTGAAAGTTCCCAAGTAGGGCAGCAGTCCCAGGAGACATCTGTCCGTGGCTGACTCTGGTCTGCAGCCACGACCCCATGTGCACCAGCCACACTTGCCCTGCGACAGGAAGAGAGTCCACAGTGAACTCGCAGCTAAGACTGTCATGGGATCAGACAGTTGAGGTCTATTTTATCCTTGTCTCTGTAGCACACACACTCGAGGTCTAAGTGAGCGTCACGTGACCCATGCTCATCTGCTGACGTGGCACATTTCTTAATGTGTGTGTGTAGCCTGACACTTAAGGTTTTGCTAGCCAAGGTGCTTAGTCCTCCTTTCAAATGTGTGTACTTACAAGGTCTTCCTGAGTCTGCAGCAAACTTTGCAAGGGCTTTGGAAAACTCTGAAATGGAGCTTTGGCGTGGCTCTATAAAGAAGAACAGTCTAAGGCATAGCCATAGGCGTTTATTTATCCCAAAAACTGTTTAAGAAGGGGTCGAGTAACCTTACCACAAGGGAAACAGACTAGTAGATGTCTTCTCATTCCTACAGACATTACCTGAACAGGGGGGAAAATACCTTAGTTTGCTGCAGGGTTGGAATACCCGAGAACTGAGAACCACCAGGCTCCTGTATATCTGTATCCCCCCCATGCCCTGTGCCCCGAATCCCCAAATTCTGCGCAATGATTTAATTTCTGTGAACTACTTCAGAGCTGCCAGGAGTCCGGGTTATCACTTCATGCTTTAAATGAAAGGCAGAGAAAAGCATCAAGATAGTAACAAAAACACCCCTATTTGTCAAAAGACTTCCTCCCATAAATGCTTTCAATTATGACTGTTTAACTCAGAGGAGTATGTCCCAGTCATTATACAAACAGTGCCCAAGTAAAGCAAACAACACCAGTGTTCCCTCAGCGAACAGTGTCACCTACTGAATTACACTTATTTTTTTTAGAGGCCAACAGAGAATAAACTCACTAATAGCTAGAATTTCGGTCCTCGTCTTCATTAGGATTTGGTCCTAGGGAGGGAGTGGGGTACAAAAGCTTAAGTAACGTTAGTATTTTCTATTTTACGCTGCAGCTTCTAGAACAAGATCTAACTGTGGTAAAAAAAAAAAAAAAAAAAAAAACAACCAATTTTGTGTTCAGCAATAGTACAGCTTGCAAACTCTGTAGAGCAGGCATGGCTTGCTAAAATAACATTTCCACCTTTGACATGTGTGCACAAATGAACCTGTGTTTATACATAGGTCAGGTTGAAGTCCCTGAACCCGTGGCCTCCTACTTCACTTAGCTTTATTTTCTAACACCTCTGCACTGCTGCCAACAGCCCATCTGACCTGAGATGCTCAGACCTTGCCGTACCTGAGCACTCTTCTACAGAGGAAGACATTTTCATATACAGGCAAGTGCTACAATTTTGGTCATCCAGTATACATAACACATCATCTGATATTTCACACATGTGTACAAAGGAAAAAAAAAAAGCCGGGTCCCAGAGTCAAGAACCATGGTTGGATAATGACACCCAAAAGTTAGCATTTGATCTTCCCAATCTCTCATCTGAAAATTACTGACTAGGCCTGCTCACCAACAGCACATAAGTCCTGTAGAGAACTCCACACCCATACAGACGCTCTGGTTAGATAATGTTTCTGCTCTATCATTCACCTTTTGAAAAATGTTCTTTGTCTGTAGCGTTCCTTTGCGGTGCTCCGGTCAGGACACCCCCTTAAGAGCTCTGAGAGCCTAACTTTGTCAGGATCTGATGCAAAGACTACAAAACGTGCTCACTTCTATTTCTAATCTGCTTTTAGATTATTATAAACTTACTCTGCATGAAATTTAACTTTTTTATTAGTTGAAAATGTGTTTTTATACCACCTGAACGTACTGCTGTTAAAGCACATGTGACTATCTGCATCTGTCAGGCCTATTCTGCTTGTACCGGAAGATTCACTCGGAAGTGGCTACTAAACACACTGTACTATACCTTGTAATTTTTTAGGCTCACTTGTAGCTTTAAATGTTTCCAGATGCCTTTAGTTTTAGCTGCTGTAAAATAGCTACTTTGTGTTATTTGATATAGAATTGTTTAAAAAAAAAACTCCATTTATTTATACAGAGACATTTATAATATTTTACAAACGTTCTTATATTCTGAATAAATATTTCTAATTCCATGTGGTACTTTGTTTAAATTAAAGAGTGAAGACGTTCCGTAGGGTATTTACCAGTCATACATGTAAATACAAACCAGAGATTGCTTACACTGAATCAGGGGCCCTGATGGAAACAGGGGCTCGATGGAAAACTATTTCAGATCAGATCAAAAGAACAACAAAACAAGAACAACAAAATTCTCATTTATCATCAATTTTTATTTGGCTGTCTCCACAAACAGCATGAACAGGAGGTTCTCTATTGAATGATCTTTTTAAAAACTAATCAGAACATCAAATGTAAATTATGAGACAGCAGCTTCCTAGCATGGCGGAAGTGCTATAAAACACCGGCTTTGCTACATCGAGAGAACTTCTGATAACAACAGTTACATAGCTGAGAACTCTAAAATAATAATCAATGTATTTCTCCCGCCTAAGACCTAAGGACATCAGGACATTCTGGTGGAAAGCCTGGTTCTTACCTAAGTTTAAGAATTACTGCCATTTTCCATGTTTGATTTATACTGTTAAGAGTCAGACTGTGAATGAAGATAAGACATCCCACTGTCCACTCATTTCTGAGTGGATTCTACATTTTGAATTTCTATTAATGCAAACGGAACTTCATAACTTTTTTGGTCCAGAGAGATGACAGCTAAGAGTAACACAGTCATGCCTTAAAATTATAGTAAGGAGTAACAGGAACAGAACCAATGGTAAATAGCAACCAAATCGGAGCCAATTTTATTGGTAATGTATTATAGATAGTCAGAATTAGACCAAATTTAACACAATATCTTACAGAAAGCCAATGTGAGCGACCTTGTATCATTGTAAAGATACGGTTTTAGTTTTTGAACTAGTGTGGATTACATACAACATACTTACTGTTAAAGATAGCCCTGCATTTCTCGGTGGAGAACACAGGCGGCAATCTCCATGTCCTATTCAGATCCCAGTCACTGGATGACAGTCACAGCAATGTAAGTGAAAGTCAGTACAGCCACTTCATGGATGCTGAACTTGAGGGAGGCGGTGGGGTAGAGGTGTCACTGAATAAATCCAGCTCTAGAGGCTGTTGTCACACCACAACAAACCCAACAGGCTACTTTAGGGGTTCCTTTTTGGTTTCCCTAAATGTGTGGCTATTAACCACAAAATAACTTTCATACTGCCACAGACATAATCATGTAGGAGTTTACACCATCTTTCCCGTATGAAAGCACCCTAATGTCAAGCAATAAAATACAGCTGTAAGTTAGCAAAGATTAAATGTTAAATCATTTAACATAAGACAAAACCAATTCATGAAGAAACCAAATTTACAAATTATTTATTCTAAAGCCCAGGTTTTCTAGTGAACATTACACCCTTAATGAGGTAAAGCTTGTGTGCCAGCTTCTATGACCCAGCATGCCATTCACTTTTTCCAGACAAACTCACACACAAGCAGACTGTTCTGAGCCCGCACTGTCCAGGAACACCAGGTCTTCACAGCATAGTATAAACAGTGCTAAAGCTACACAACTAGGATTCACCTTTGGGCCCAAACTAAACTATATACTTCATTTTTGTTAGATTTAAGATGATCTTGTATTTATAGATTTATTTATTTTTGAGACAGGGTTTCTTTGTATAGCTCTGGCTTCTCTGGAACGTGATTTGTAGACCAGGGTGGTCTCTGCCTCACAGTGCTGGGATTACAAGTATGCACCACCACGCCTGGCCTGATTTAGGAACATCTTAATTAAGAGAAAATCACTTAAAATAGCTGAAGATATTAAGATTCATTATGGTTTCATTGAAGCCAACAGACATAGGTCTAGTAAGTCAACATTCATTTTAAAACTATTGTAAGATTTAAAACTAACTGGCAAACATAAAAAAAATAGCTCTTAAAGGTTAAAGCAAAGTTAAGGGTTTTACTATTATTCCCTATTTGTTAAACTGAAAAAAATTTATATTTATACAATGGAACTTAGCTGTCTACTGTCCTCATTTGAAACAAAATGCAGAAATGAAAGGCTCATTCCCTTGGATACTAGCATTTACAGTTACTTGTCCAATATTCAAACAAAGCAGAATGGGCTACATGAACAGCAGTGAACATTCCTGCACGCCGCGTGTCCAGGCACACCACTGCTCATGCTCCAGACGCATGACTGCAACTCTGCCAGCTCTCTAAATCTCCCAGTTGGCAACCTCTGTGCTAATGTCTTAAAGCTTGAGAAATGGCTTTAAAATGTACAGTTGTATCCCAATCCAGTCTAGAGTTATTGTTTTAGACATCTGGATCAAATAATTACAAGCAGAAAGTATACGACCTCCTGTAAAAGCTCACTAAGAACTAAGGACTAGGAAATGTTGCCCATTTCATTCTAGAACTACACTGAAGTGTTTTCTTTGCTCCCATACAACTTCACGGTTATATACATTGACATGAGGGAGCAGAGCCCTTCTAGCTGCTTGAGGCTCAAGAGTCAAAGTTATGGCAAAATCTCATGGTGTCAGAGGCAATAAGAGATACAGCCCAAACAAAAGACTGATTACTGAACAGATGCTCAAAAAATGGCACTCAACAAACGAGCTAGTAACAAGTCAAGGAAAACTACCCTGCAGCAAACACTGGGGGTCTTAGCTCCCACTGAGAAACCCATGTCCACTAAGACCAAGTCACACCCTGAAGCTGACTTCTGTCATTTCTTTCCACAGAACCCTTGACCCAAAACTGCCCAAATCACTATGTTGAGGTGAATTCCTTTTAGACTGTGCTTTCATGCAGCTACCAGAGACAGAACCCATGCTTCTGCCACACAGACAAGATAAATGTAATCTCTCTATTGCTGACTTCAAATTAGATATTCTGTTGTGAAAATTCCAAAAGTAAAGCCTTAAAGCTTTAACCCAATACGAAGTACACAGGAAACCCACACAAACAAGAGCCCTCTCAGCACCAAGTTAATAGAAATGCCTTTACAGCCAGTTCTATGCATGAGTAGACGGAGGCTTCCACTTCCCTCAGCTATGAAGTACCTCAGTAACGACCGCTGTTTGTCACAGGAAACTGCTGGCAGCACACCCACGTGCAGTGACTGTGCCACACTCTGGGCTATCTTGTTATCAAAAAGACCTGGTTCCATTTCCAACAACACAGCAACTCCAGTTCCTGGAGGAACTGACACTCTTTTTCTGGCCTCCTTGGGCACCAGGCACATGTGTGGTACACATACATACACAGGTGAAACATTAAAAGACATTAAAAAATTAAATAAAAAATTAAAAATAAAATCCAGAATGCCTGCAGCTCTGCAGAATCAACAGAAAGGACCCAAACACTAGTCCTTAAAGTGAGAAAAATTATATTAGAATCAATGGATTGCTTGGCAATCATACTTACAACACTTGACTGCGGAGTAGAAAATGTCTGGGAAGGTCAGTACTTTTTGACTGTTCGGGCTGGGCACCGGCCACACTTCTCACCTGGAACATCATGAAAACACTCAACTGCTAGCGATGCTCAGTAGTTTTCCCTTTGGGCTCTGCAGAGCATCTGTTGGAAATGGCAACCTACTTCTGACAAATCTCAGATTACTGATCTCAATCTGCTACCTTCTGACACAGGCTTCAGGAACAACCCAATTCTATATATTGAGAGAAAAAGATGTGGAGGACATTTCTAGATTTTTAGGAAACCATACAAATGTATTTTATAGTGTTAAGACACCGCTCTGACCCAGCTTCAGCAAACTGTAAAGACAACACCAGATACACAGAGGTGATAATACCTTTAGACACAATAGTGGTCTGTGGTCTCCTTTGCTGAGGGTCACTTCGAGTCACAACACATCTGCACTTCTCTCAGGCTACACAATCATCCAACTTAAAGCCAGGAGGAAGTGTTAATACAACACAAAGAAAATACTGCCTCAGAGAACACAGACACAACTGTTGTCATTAAAGTCCCCAAGAAGGGAAGTTCACAGCTAGGGAAGGTCACAGTGACCACAGGAAGAAAACCTGCCCAGCAAATGATCATGTCTAGGTCCCTCCCTCTCCTTCTTATTTAACTAATGTTAGAAGATCAGACTGCTAGGTGAGGGACTTGATGATAAAACATTTTTAAATGCACACAGGTACCAGTTCTTGACATTTTTAGAAAACACGGTGCTCGATAAAGGAACTGGATTCCTACAGCCATTTTCTAAGATCTGCAGTTTTTTATTGACAGTACATGTAAATTACTAGAACCGCCAAAAGAAATAGCACAGCCAAGTCTTATAGCATAATATTAATCTGCTATATAGCTCCATAATATGTAATTACTAATTAATATTTAATATAAAAATAATGATATTCAAAGGTCAGAACAGCAAGTAGTGACCACAATTCCTGACAGTGCTGGGAGACCATTTTTTTGTGTATTGGTACAAAAAGCTAATTAGATCTTTCAACGTGTTTAATCAATTTCACCCATGTTACCAGGTCTGCTAGGTTTTTCAGGTCCCTCATGTCTCAGGACGGAATCACTGTTTAAAATACTAGAGTCGTTCATTCACTGTCTCTAAACAAAACTTACAGAAAGCATGTAAACTGTCTTCTTTGTCTCTTGGAGTAAAATGGTTCAGGACAAAGTTATTTAACATTCTTCAAATCACTGAAGTTAGACACAAAAGCACCTACAATCTAAGACTTAAAAAGATTCACAGCGCACTGCACCTTGGAACACATGCGGGTTGGGTCCTAAGGATGTTTACAAAGCAATTTCAAAGTCTCACCCAGGAAATACACAAAACATAATAAGGCTGACATATCTACTGTTCCATCTAGCATCGTACATCATTGCATATTTGGCATCTTCATCACCAGATTCTATGAAGAAATGTTAACACAGCTCAGAGAAGAAATCCAGTCCTGTGCTAAACTCGGTCTCTCAGATAACCTGAACAGGGAAGGAGTAAGCATAGCAGATATACACTAACAAGGTAAAACAACTTAACATCTTCTGCATAGCTGAGTCACACTAGACATACAAACCTTAAGTCTTCTTCCAGCATGTTTTTAACAGACTGCTGTGAGAGGCAAAGCCCGAAGTTATTCGAATTGCATCCCGGCCAGCCCCTTGCTTTGTCCCACAGGGCAGGAAATGAAGCAGTGCAGCATTTCTTGGTTCTTACAGCCGGCCACTTTAGAGGCCATACTTCTGCTAACTAGTCACTTCTGCTTTAGTACAGAGAGCTGAAAAATCCAACCTCTACAGGCACTGGAGGGACTGACCAAAATACTCATTTAAGAATAAGACACTCTCTCTCTGAAACACACACACACACACACACACACACACACACACACACACGCGGTTTCCAGGCGACAGTGCATGAGTGGAAATGACTCACCTGCTGAGTAAACTAAGTTTCCACCCCTTAACCACTTAACAGAAATCTGGAATGCTGGGACAACTATAAATATGGCTCAAGAAGACCCAACCAAAGCAGCCGTATTTCTGACAAGAATAGTAAGGGCTTCCAAACACAATCATATAATGCAT